GTCAAAGACTATCCTGAGTGCTGAGGACTCAATACAAAACAGGAACAACCATTGTCCCAATCTAATTGAGGAGAGAGTCATGAACGTAGATAATTCTAATATGAAGTATGTATAAATTATGTTTTTCATTTTCTATAGTTTATGGTGTTTTAATATCTTGGGGGCAATCTTTCTGTCCAGAAGAGACTGCTCTTCCCAGAGCTAGTGAGTTCCTGGAGATAATAGAAATGGTTGGTAAGCCAGTCTCTCATCCATTCCAGCAACCTTCTTTATCTAATTCTCATGCACCGATCCATGACTTCCTCTATCAGTACAGGGCCAAGCATTAGACAACTAGGGACAGCAATTATGCCCTAAACCCACTGAGATTATTCAGATTAGCCTAAGGAGTTGACCCTGCTGTCCCTTGCCTTTTGCATGAAAACCCCAATCGAGGCTGCTTCCTGACCAACCCCAGTGCTTCACCATGGATCCCTATGTGGCATGCAACCCTCTTGCTTCTAGAGGAACTATAGGTAGCAATAAGCATTTCTTTCAAGGGCGTTGGCCTGTGTTGTCACTCAGTCACTTTTTACAAAGGAAGACCTGGGACAAATCAAATTGTTAAGAGCTATGGGGAGTATAGACACAGAGAATAGACACAGAGGAAAATGGAGTCAGGGATGTCAAGAGAGGAGAATGCTTCAGAAAAGTCAGCCACTGAACTTTGGTGTGATCAAGTCTGGCCAACAAATTCTTCTTTAATCTTTTTTTTTTTTTTTCACCAACAGCACTGTGCAGTTTTAGTAACCATTCAAGTATAGTAGCATCTGGTAAGATTGGGACAGAATTGGGATTGAAAAGTGAACAGATATTCAGCATCTAACAATTTGAAAGAAGCCACTACATACTCTTCACAAACATGTTTTCACAGAGCCAATACAGACCTAGCCATTAACCCAGTACACCAAGTGCACTGAAGTAGACAAGATGCAACAATAAAAATAGCTACATTAAAAAAACCAACACTTTAGAAAAAGATTAAAACACTTTCAGTTTCTCCCCTTTATCCCCTAAAACAACATCTTACAGTCTGGATCTACCTCTACAGTCCTACATTAGCTTCTAGAATATTTGTCAAGAGGGAAAAAATAAAATGACACTGGCCAGTACAGCCTTTGGATATTTAGGAAGGGGAAGGGGAGAAAGTCAGTTCTCAGAACAAATTAGTCAGCTTCAGTTTCATCAGCAGGGTCTTTGGATTCTTTGTTCTTCCGCACTTCTTCAATGTGCTTATCCTTCTCTCGAAAACGCTCCAGTTTGGCAGCCATTTGTGCCTCTCGGTTCTCTTTGTTAGCTTCCATTTTGTGGGTCAGTTTCTCTTCCGCCATTTTACTGAAGTGGTTGTTTTCTTCTATTGCTTTCTGAAGCACTTCTTTCTCATGCTCTCGTTTCTCAGCAAGCTGCTTCAAGACCTCATCTTCATGAGACTTGCGTCTTTCTTGTGCAGCTTCTAATTTCTTCTGAATTTCCTCCAGGGAAATATCCTTCTTCTTTGGGAGGAGAAAGGGGGAAATCTGGGACCGATTCTTTTGATTGAGGGCTGAGAATCAGCTCAAAAGCCTGGCCTGAGGCACGCTTCTCCAGTTCTTTCACCTGAATATCAGAAGAAACCATGGTGAATAGAAGACAAGAGACTGGCAGTGTGTTCTACACAATCCACTGGTAAGGAAAGCCCTGCTCTGTCCAAGCCGCCTGGCCACACTTTCTTTAATCTTTTTAAAAATGATTCCATTATTGTGGTTCTGTTTTGTTCCTGAGTCACGTGCTTTTGTTTCTGCCTCATTCAATTAGTGAGAGAATAAGAATGAAGGGTGGATGAAAGCCTCATGCTATGTTTTAAAAAGCCGTTTTCCCATGCTCCTGCAGACCTTGATATCATCAGGTTTCAGCACATTAGAGTCAGGGCTTTCCCTGTTGCCCTGCTTGTGACCGCTTTCCATGCCAGGATCTGCTGAGCAGGGCCATGACCCACTGGTGGGTCATGGAGTGACCAAAGTCCTGCTGAGAACTCATTGCCTACGTATCAGTGAACTGGCAGACACGGGGGAAGAGGGTCTGCCATGCTCATTCTGTGCCAGGGCAGGTCAGCAGGTGTGCTCCTTATCAGTCCTGTACATAACCGCACACCCCAGTAAACTTACAGAGTTACACAATTTCCTGTAAAAAAGAAAGCAGAACAGTGGTCAGCCTGGCCACGGATAGAATGACCTGCTGTTTTAAACTTAAGTCTCTGACGGTCAGAGTGAATGACAGCCCGGAGTGGAGGCTCACTTCTTAGAAATTCCTCTGGCACAGAGCAGAGGTCAGGAGCCAATTCTCATGGACCCACAAGAACAACCAGGGGTAGAAGCAGGAATAGGGGAGGTGAGGAGGGGCTCCATCCTGCCAGACAGGAATCAACAGAAGCCAAATGCAGTCTCAGAAAATCTCAGTGGCTAAGTACAGATAAGACTCACACACTCCAGAATTCTTTAAGGAAACAGCAACAAAAAAGGAACCAGGAAACGATTAAAACTTGTGCTATGTAACTCTACTTGGATGATCAAACAGCTAACTTGTTTATAACAACCTACACAGTCTACCGGGATCCTGGGGTTTCTAAAAAACTTTGGCAGCCCAGTCAGGAGGACATGCTGCTTGGCAGCCAACATGTCATTGTCCTTGCCGAGTTTCTGCTAGTGTCCCCAATCCTGCTTTCCTTGACTTACCCAAGTCAATATCATTGCCATGTAGCTCTGAGTGCAGAAAATTCTCAAGGGCAACATTATCTAAAGTCCATTATCCAAAGTACCAACTCCAGAGTTATAGTTATGGAGATGGTGACGTTCAAAGACTCTGCCAACCACTGGTCCCTTAAAACGCTTCTCCTTATTTCAACATCCGTAGGTCTAGAGAACTTGCCCACTTCCTGCCACATAGCAGCCACATGCCTTTGATGGGAAGATAATCACCACAAAACAGAACGGAAATATGGACCTCGTGACCTTCTTCCATTGAGCCATAGAAAGCTCACGGGGACCAGCCCGGGGGTCACTGTTTAGCCATTTCACATCACCTCCACTACGAGCCCTAATGAGTGCACTTTGCAGGGCCCTCAGCAACCATTCAAGGTGGTTTGTCGGATGGTTGGTTGGTAGAATTTGCTGGAAGAGGGACTTCAGAGTTGGCTGCCCTACTCTGACTGCCATCATTCCACCCCTAGCACTGGTGCTGAGTTTGAGCACAGACTAGAGATTGAAAAGGAAATGACCAGGACATCTGCTGGCTCACACAGTGGCTTAGTGCCAGATAGAAATATGCCCCTTCTCTAGAAAATGAAATGCTAAAGGATGCCCATTCATGTGGCCATCTGGGGCAAAGAGCCCTCTAGGTCCTGTTTTATAAAAGGAGCAGCCCGTGCAAGGCACAGGGCTTGGCCCGTGGAATCTGGGCAGGATCTCAGCCCCACTCCAGTTCTCTGGGTGGACTGGAGGGCACAGGGATCAAAGCAGCTCTGGAAGGAGTCTTGGGGCATCCTGAGCGCTGCGACACTGCTCTCTGTATCAGGCCATTTAATTGAGATGATTACCAGCCAGGGCTGAGATGTAGCTCCATGGTAGAGCACTTGCCCAGCATGTGAAAGGCCTGGGTTCAGTTCCCAGACACACACACACACACACACACACACACACACACGCATGCACACAACTGTTACCAGCTGGTGGAAAGAATTCCTCTATCATGTGTTTTATCATGGTTCATTTAAATTAATCTCTACAACAACCCTCTGAGGCAGATATTTAACAGGAAATTGGACCCCAGGTTAAGAATCTTGCCTGAGGTTGCTTGATAGCATCAGATTTTGATCTTCATCCTGCTGTTTTCCCAGCACTCATTATTATTTGCTTTTCCTGATTTATTTTTAGGCATAGCACTTACCACCAATGTTGTGTATTTCATTTCTTATTTGTATATTGGCAGTTTTTCCTGAGGGGGAAGTAAGCTTTGCAAGGGGAGTGTTTTATTCGCTGCTGTATCCTCTGTGCTTAGATAGGAGCCAGGCACACAGTAGGGCTCATTCATTAGCATTGGACGGATCGTTCAAATGCCAGCTATTTCCTACCACGCCAGCTTATTTCAATCAACGGTCTTTGGTAAATACTCAGTAATGCTTTAAGGTGTCCTAGAGGAAAAAAAAAATAGACTAACAAGCGATATCCACTGCTATCAAGATTTTCTTCAATCTAAAAAAAACACTTTTATACATTTAGATACATGTTTCATGAGTGAAAACAAGGTTCCAAGAAAAGTCTTCCAGCCTAAAATTCATGTCCACTTGAAGGAGAGAAATCGAAGGCTAATAAGCTAGGTTATGACTACCTACTAAGATGATTCTTTGACTTTGAAGGCAGGTTTATTTATGGCAGATTTCTTTGTTTTTTTGTTTTGGGGGGTTTTTTTTGACAGGGTCTCACTAGATTTCCAGGCTGTTCTTAAACTCCTGGGCTCAAGTAATCCTCCCGCCTCAGTCTCCACCCAAAAAGCTGAGACTTTAGGCATGTAACATGGTGCCTGTCTTATAGCTTCTTTCTTTGATTCAAACAAAATTATCCATCCCTGCTTTGCTCTGCTAATAATTTTCATATAGCATTACAGAATAACCAGGCACATTTTCTATGCAGAAGTGTCCAGAGCTTACAGAGATTGCAAATTCTACAAAATGAATTTCTTCTTGCTGGCTACTAAAATGGGGCATATTAAACACCATTTTCATATCCTTAAAGTTACAACAAAGTTTTTATGGGAGTTAGCAGCCTGGAGTTTCAGAAATAGTTAAGTGCTGCATGTTTTGACTCTTTTACATAATCTTTCTCCTGGTTTATTAAGAGCTCGCCGTATGCAGGGCACTGTACCCTGAAATATTGTTGGAGGAACAAAGAGAGCATTTAGAGATGTTCTCTGGCCTCCTGGAATTTACAGGATGAATGGAAGAAGACATAGAGTTATGCATACTCCCGACAATAACCAGTGACTTTTTATTTGTAGACAGAGAAGCTTGGCGACTGAGACCTTTTTTTTCCCCACGCTGGATTTACGAGAACCGAACTGAATTGAAAAATGTTATTTGCTTTAACAAAACAATTTACTCTTGTGCAACATTAAATTGTGTCAATCAAGCAAACAAAGGAAGAAAGCCTTATTTATAAAATAGCCTGCTTCTGATTCACTTGATTGCTTCTCAGGTTCCAACAGGGCGACAAAATGAAGCTTTTGGTGCTTGGTGTTTTTCTGTTTTTCTGTAGTTCCCCAGCCTGGACAAAAGATAAGCACTATTACCTTGGAATTATTGAAACAACTTGGAACTATAACTCCGACCGTGGGGAAAAGAAACTTGTTTCAGTTGACACGTAAGTCACTGTTTTTATTGCTTATGGGCCAAATTTGTAACTTAGCAATTTTTAAAAATAAGCCATTAAGAGGTAATATTTCTTTAATGTGTCCACTGCAAAATGTGGACTTGAAACTGGAGACATTTTAATCAGTCTCCTCTCCATCTCTGGCTGTTTTACATCAGGAGAACTGCCCTGCTGCCTCTCCAGGTCCTGGTGAACTTGTCAGCCTCCTATTTATTGACTCCTCTGGTTTATACACCTCCATCAGCATTCTATCTTTTTGTCTGTTGATACAAAAATTCTTTAAATAATGTCTGCATAAAATGCTATGTTCATGGGGGAGGCAGGAGAGGAGAGAAAGGGGAGTACTGGGGATGGAAATTGACCACATTATGATGTTATATTGTGTGCATGCACAGATAACTAACAACCAATAAAATGCAACAATTGAAGAAAAAGAATAAAAACCTTTTAACAACAACAACAAAAAACTCTAAATGGAAAAAAAATTTTATAACACCATTTACTGGTTATCAATAGTAAAGATGCCACATTTTTTAATCCTTCAGAACATCATTTACAGAAATAAAATATAGTTTTAACAAAATGATTCTACCTAATACTGGTCGGGTAATTCTGCACAGTGAATGAATGGGGGTAATCGGAGTCCATATTTGCAAAAAGGGATAAAAACATATTTCCCAGGACACATGTCCAGCTCTTGGTGGAGAGCTCAGCATGGTGTACACATACAAAAACATATATGATACTCAATGTTTTCCTGTCTCATTCGAAAGCCCCTTTATTTTAAACAATATTCACTATACAGAAAATAAGAAAGTAAAGTTCTCCTTGAAGTGTTTATATGGAAGTTTCTCAGTTCATCTATTTTAATAATGTTAATTAAACATTTACCACCAAATGGAAATTTGTCATTTAAAACCAATATTCACTACATTAACAAATGTATTTTAATGGTGATAAAATACAATGAGTCCAATAACCAGCAGCTGCTAAGATTGTACCTTTACAAAATAGCTAAATAATTATGCCAAATTTTGTTAACTTGACTCTTAAGGATGGGTATATTCTATTCTGATTAATTGCATATATGGTTGAAATTGTTCACAGTAAAAAATAAATGCAAAACTAAGAATAACATCCAATTGCTACTTTATTAATTTAGTACTATGTGATTAGGATCACAGTAATAAAGACAACTAGTACATCTTACAATTATTAGTTTTTTTTAAAAAAATATGTTTTGAGATAGTATTCTTTTCTTAGGAGTATATTTTTACAGCTTAACTAGAAACATTACTTTGTATGGATTCAGGTTTTTCCTGAATAAAAGAATTAAATTACATGTGGTTTTTATTTCCAAGGAAAAGAGGTATCACTCAGTGGTGGAGCACTGGCCTGGTGTGGGCAAAGCCCTGGGTCTGATCCCTAGTACCTAAATAAATAAAGACATAATTTAAAATTTTTTTTCAAAAATAGAAGTACTGTCCTACTCCATGGTTTACTCACCCCCGCCATGGTTCATGAACAAAAATCAGATCAGTTCATCAGGCATAAACTAAGGGCAAGGTTAGGCTCTGGCCATGCTCCAATAAAGAAGTCTTTAATTCCAAAATTGGGAAACAGGAGAGTGAAGGAAGTTGGTAAGGATTTGGGTGGGTGGGGGGTGGTTCTTTTGTTTTTAAATACTCTCATGGCCTGTCTGTTCCTGGGAGACTATAAAGTGCATAAGTCTTGTTTATCCTGTTGTTCTTTGATAGGCACACTTAAGGATGCTTAAAAAGGAAAGTGATCCATCTTCCAGATAAGTTCAATCCTCTTTTTATCAATGTTCCATAACCTCCTGTGGCTTCAACAACAGCCTAGGGTTGTATGAACTCTTGAAGAGACTGGCCACACCATCTGATTTTGTTTCTTTCATACATCTGAACAGCGATCAGCGCATCAGCATTTTGCCAGTTGCATGTTAAACGTCTTGTGTAGATGAGTGTAGCAGTGACCTCATGCTGCCTTTGTTGTCCCATAGTCGCAGCAAGTCCAGCCCAGTCAGTGAAAGATGAGCTGGTATCACCAGACAAAAGTGGCTTTCCTTCTCATGTGATGGCCAAAAAGAAGGGGAAATAAACAGGGGAAGCAGAAGGGGAGAGAACGCAAGACGTGCATTGGGTTGAGATCTGGATTTCAGTGTGATGTTGACCTTGAATGTACGTGGAGACAGCAGGAACTCCCTCTGCTATGGTGATGGGTACCTAAAACATTGGAGTCACTGAATAAATTATTTGTGAATCTATTACAAATAAATGAATGAAAGTCCTATAGGAAGTGGGAGAAATTAGAAGCTATGTTGTAACTTTCCCTTGCACCTTGGAGGGACATATTCATGCTGTAGAATAAACCAGGCAATGGATATGATAGGAAAGGTCAGCACAGGAGTTGGTTATACATAGATTAATAAAGTTCAAAACAAGTGGATATTTAAAGAGAAAAATGTATGGATTGTCTTTGTTTTGCTTGATTGGTCAGGAAAATAGAGTTTACCTCTCGGGATGAAAGCCAGTGTTATTTACTTCTAATAGGGGACAGTGGAAAGGGATTTCCTTGTATTGTAGTCCATGCTCCCATTTATTTGGGTCAGGCCTTATCTGTCCCTTAAAAAAACCTATAAGTTGTAGTTTCTGATTCTAAATTACTAATATTTAAATAAGAATAAAAGACATACTCATATAAACAATTAGTAAATATAAGAGTGTGTTCTGGTTTCATAGTAGGTGTTAGTTCAATATTTATTAAATTAGTTGACTCTATAATAGTGAAAAATGATAATACTGGTATCTTCAGGTTATTTTGGTTTTCTGGTGACCTCCAAGAAGCTGGAATTAAGAGAAAAATTCTTTAATCCCAAGAACAGCCACCACAAAACCTTTTTAAACTTGACTTTGTAGGCTCCGACTTAGGCTTGGTGACTTTTCTCAACATATGGTTTTTACAAACTTTGATATCTAGTTTTTTGGTCATTGTTAGTTTGAAAAGCCAATGATATGATGAAGATGTCTATATAAGCAGACTAAGAAAAATAATAGCTCAAAATTTGAACAAAGAAACAGACAACAAACTAAAACTATATCCCCTTCATGGTATAATTATAATTATTATAATAATGTTGAGTGATTAGGATGCAAAAGTGTTCAACAATATTCATGTTTACTATGATTATCAGAAAAAAAAAAGGTGTCCTACCCCAGTAGAATCCTTGTTTAAGAAAACAGGGAAGCAAGCAAAATATTTTTAGAGCGAAAACTTGAAGTGAAGGAATTTATTTTATTCCTATTAAAAGATAAACACATTAAGACTTTTTCAAGTTTATCTGAGCATTCAGCATTCATGAATATGGCCACATCATATGGCCAAACAGTTTACTGGGGCATGAAGTGCAGGAAAGGATACTTTTATGAGGTGTTTTTGGAAGTCAAATTAAGAGAATTGTTTGATGAACTGAAGAGAAAGGGTCCTACTTAGAGGTTAGTTGGCAGTTTCTGGTTGGTTAGACTTAAGTTTTAATTTTAATTTTTTGGTACCAGGAATTGAACCCAGGAGCACTCAACCACTGAGCCACATCCCCAGCCCTTTCTTGTATTTTATTTAGAGACAGAGTCTCACTGAGTTGCTTAGGGCCTTGCTAAGTTGCTGAGGCCAGTAGACTTAAGTTTTATAGTATTGTTTACATTAAATTGATTTTTGGTTTGCTTGTAGGAACCCAAGGTACTGGAGCCATCTCTGCCTAATGGCCTCCCAATTATGTTAATGCCTTTTCAAAAATAATGTAAAGCTTTTAAAAATGATACTTAAGAAGGTACAACTTTTAGCTAAAATTTTCCGAAAATTTCACTTACAATGACTCATTCTCTGAGGTTGCCAAGTGCCCAAATAGTCGCAGCTAGTGTGCTGCAGACACTTCAGACAAGACAGCCTGTGTGAAGGAGATAATTAAATTATAACATTTTGTACTTTTCAAGCTAACAACCTATTACCACAGTTTCCACTGGCCCCAAGAATGAAGCCAAAGCAAGGTTGGCCATTAGGTGTTATGTTCGCGCTGTGCTGGGGAAGCCAGGCCAGTCAGGACCTACAAATTCAGGGGAACTTGTTGAGTCTCTGCTGACTTCCTGTTTTCCTTAGGATTCCTGTCTGTGGTAGGCAGAAGTTCTAAAATGGCCCCCTAAAGACCTTCCACACTAAATCTCCAGAACCTGTGAGGAGGATGAGCTGCCCCCCACCCCCAGGATTTCTGTGGCAGCCAACCTCAGGGAGGCTGCCAGGGAGGCCTCATCTAAAAGGGGAGTCCTCTAGAGGCAGAAGAGAAAGTGGAGAGATCAGAGACTGGGGGATTCCACACACTGCTGCTGACTAAGGTGGAAGGGGCACTTGAGAGGCATATGGGTGGGGTGGCCTTCAGGAACTGGGAGAGGTCCCAGCTGACAGCCACAAGCCAACAGGGATTTCAGTCCTCCAACCCCAACATCAACAACCTTCGTAATTTAGAAAGTGGGTTTTTCCACAAGGGCTTGGACAACTACTCAGTCAGACAAGCCCTCGATTTCAGCCTTGGGGTGCCCTGAACAGAGCCATGGGGTGCCAGACTCTGCCTCAGAACTGTGAGGTTACGAAATGTGATAACTAGGAGGGAAGTGTATCCACTGTAGTGAGTCCAAAGGAGAATTTGGCCACTGTCAACAGGAAGAATCATAATTAAATGTGAATTATTTGTTTGGTTCAAGGATTAACTATAATAAATTCTTTTGTCTGAATATTGGATGGCAAACTTCCTGCCAGCTTCCAGTAACTGACCCTTTGTCCCCAAGCTGTGCTCTTGAAATTAAATAGACATCCCCTAATGACCACTGGATATTCTTTTGGAGATAGATCATAAGCAAATAGACCCTCCCCCAAACTACCACACAAGGTGAAATACTTCCCAATTTGTGAAGGGGAACTTTCCCAATCAAAAGGCAAGATGGGAAAAACAGTTTGCATACTGCAATGTATAGAAAGAAACCCAAATACTAAAAACTCTGGTTCTATTATGGCTTCAGATCAATTTTAAAAGTAATTTTCTCATAAACATCCCAAAAAAACTCAGTGTAGAAAAAAAAATTAATCACAAATCTTGGACAATGAGCCTTCTATCTGGGAGAAATGATTAATACAGAAAAATACAATGAAAGCATTTTAACAAAGACCACTATAGCTTATTGAAATGGGATGTGATGTATACCTGAGTGCTTTTGAGTCACATTCAGAAAATATAAAAACACACTTAAGATTGGAAGGACTATTTTTAAACTTTGTTCTATGAAGGATGTGCTATCAACAAGGGATAGTGGAGCACAGATTAGAATCTCCATTAAATATCATCATACTAGGTCTCAGAAATAGGATGGTGTCCAGATGTTGAAGAAAGTTTATCCTGGGATTTAGACAAGCCTGTGTGAGATGGGTCTGCCCAAGGCTTTTCTGGCAGGACCAGAAAGGAGACTTTGAAGTCGCATCTGTGTGTGTGTGCCTGACCCAAATTGTCCTGGTCAGACCCCTCTCAGCAGAATGAGCAGATGAACCTCTGTTTCTAATCTCAGGGCTCTCGGCGCCTCACGGTGCTGCCTCCTGTCCTCCTGTCCAAACTCCTCCTGAGTTTGGGGAAGAGTCCACACCTGTGCTCTGCTCGTGCTCTGCTCTTTTTCCACGTATTTCCACATCCTGAAGTCTTTCTGAACCATCCCCAGTTAGTGTTCTGTTTTGCTCTAACAGACTGGGAAACTGCAGCAAACAACCCAAAGGTAAAAACAAATAGGGGGAAAGTGGCATACAAAAAGAAATGTCACTTTATTCTTCTAGCTTCCGGCTTGGTCGTCTCCCCAGGATGGGTTTGGAGGGACCGGGAAACCATCTCAGTCATTTCTTCAGGGAACAATTCTGCCTCCTTTAGAGATCCTGGGGTTTATGCAATCCAGGAAAGTGGAGGTTCCAGGTGTGCTGGTGAGATGAGATGCTCCTAGCAGGAGCTACGGGCCATCTGAAGAAGATGGCTCTATTATTACCAATGCCTGCTATCTCTGCCCACATTCAACCACCAGGACCATCGGCACGTCCCCATGCTCCCTGACCACAGCACTCAGGCCTAATCTGTGCAATTGCCACCAGCAGAGGTCTGGCCACTACCTGGGTATGGCCTGGAAACAGAACTTTGCACCCCTAGGTCTCAAGGTATCAGGGAATCTCATCTCCACTGGGACTGGTCTACTCTCTTCCCCTCAACCTCAGAAGCTCTGCTACCCAGGTTTCCCCTAAACCTAGTGCAACCCGCCTGTTCCAGAACCCACCAGGATGTCAGCTAAGAAGGGCAACTGCCTGAGCCCCAGGCCCACAGGATCAGAACCACAAAGCTAGGCCCGAAGGAGTTTGCACTCCACCAAAAACTCCACCGAAATGCCTCATCGATGTCCATACACAGAAAACTTGAGAAACATTGAGCCAGAGCCCTAGGCTTTTGGAAAACAAGATCTTTAAATTCTGCAACAATGGAATTCCAGAGCTCCTGGACAAAACCTGTTTTTGTTGAAGAAGGGAAGGGGAAAAAAAAAAAAAAAAAAACACAGCTCACTCCCTGAGTGAGTTTGCAGCTGAGGATGCATGACAAAGTGTATTCCTCAGTCAGGTGATTCAGGCCCACAAGTGTTAGTGGAAAATGTAACAGGTCAAGGATCACTGAGATGAAGGAGGCAAGACACACACATGCACACTCACACACACAAATACAAACTCAAGATCGTCAGCCCAAGTGTGAGCAGGTTTTGTTCAAGTGGAAGACAGCTGTGTTGTGGAGGGGCCGTTCAAAGTCCAGACTTACATGTCCACATGGCATTGCCCACAGATGGGTCCCATGGAGCCATCCAGAACCTTCAGTTAAGGCCAATAATGTAAAAAATCAGCTTAAGTTTGAGACTTCCATTTCTTTTTCCCCCCTGGATACTATTTATTATGCTGATTTATTTAGGAAAGACTTAAGCAGCTATTAATCAGCACTAATCAGAATATAAACATTCAATGGTTAGTATCTGCAGTAATAAGGGTTTAAAAAAAACACAAAGCTAATTCAAATCCAAAGGTGATTTTAAAACCCACACATATTGCGAGCTTAAGCTCTGGCCATGATTTAAGGGTGTTAAAAGAAATAAAAAGGAGAGAATTAATAAAGTTTCACTAATTTTAGATACATACTTACAAATTTTGAAGTCTCAAATATCCAGGTTGATTGCTTATAAACTCTAGTTGATTTTTTCCTATAGCTAAGAGAAGCATCATAGTGAAAATTCCCTTCGTTATATGCTAAATTTTAATATTTCACTTTAATTTTGTATTCAATTTCATAAAACCTCTGTTTTTATAGGAACATATTTTTGTGAGGCCTTCAAATGGCACATCCGTCACCTGACGTGAAACACCTCACATAATTAAAGCAGCAGGATTAACTGCCAGCCCTCTGCTTTTGCACAATGGGCAAATATTTAATGCCATGTGGTTATATTGTTTCTCTTTCATTATTTGCTATCCCCAGAAAATCTGGCATCTGATGGAGTTGTCTTCTTTTTCTTTGCAGAGAGCATTTCAATTTCTATCTTCAAAATGGCCCAGACCGAATTGGAAGAACATACAAAAAGGCCCTTTATAATCATTACACAGACGGAACCTTTAAGACAACCGTAGAAAAGCCAGCCTGGCTCGGGTTTTTAGGCCCTATCATCAAAGCTGAAGTTGGAGATAAAGTTTATGTACACTTAAAAAACTTTGCCTCTAGGCCTTACACTTTCCATGCACATGGATTAACTTACTATAAGGAGCACGAGGGTAAGTTCAACTCACATGGTACCTGGGATTTCCTTTCCTTTGTTTTTTAGTATGAAAACTCCTAAAATGTCGACTCCCCTCCTGGATGATACCTGTAACTGTATCATTTAGATCTGAACTATTTTAATAGCAGGTTAATTTGGGTTCATCATAAGTATGTATGTTTCTCCTGGTTGTGTGAGTTGTGTAAGTGAGTGTTCTGGATTTCTGGGTAGACTCTGATACTGAGAGTCCCTGAGACTTTGGCCAGTGCCCATGCAGCCAGTCAGAATGAGAGAAATTGACCATGTACCTTAATGGCAATTATCAAGAATACAAATAACAATAAGTGTTGGTGAAGATGTGGGGGGAAAGGCACACTCATTCATTGCTGGTGGGACTGCAAATTGGGGCAATCACTCTGGAAAGCAGAATGGAGATTCCTCAGAAAACCTGGAATGGAACCACCATTTGACTCAGTTATCTCACTCCTTGGTTTATATCCAAAGGACTTAAAATCATCATCAGAAACATGGTCACTTCAATGCTAATAGCAGTTCAATTCACAATAGCTAAGCTATGGAACCAACTTAGGTGCTCTTCAAGAGATGAATGGGTAAAGAAAATGTGGTGTATATATACACAATGGAATATTACTCAGCCATAAGAAGAATGAAATTATGGCCTTTGCCAGTAAATGAATGAAACTGGAGATTATCATGCTAATTGAAATAAGCATGTTCAGGTGCCGGGAGGGAAGAACAGAAATCCATTGGATTAGACAAAGGGGAATGAAGGGAAGGGAGAGAAGATGGGATAGGAAAGACAGTAAGTAGAATGAATCGGACATAACTTTCCTATGCTCATATGTGAATACATGACCAGTGTAACTTCACATCATCTTTAACCACGAGAATGGAAAGTTATACTCCATGTATGTATACTATGTCAAAATGTACTCTATTGTCATGAATATCTAAAAAGAACAATTTTAGGTTGTGGCTCAGTGGCAGAGCACTCACCTAGCATGTGCGGGGCCCTGGGTTCGATCCTCAGAACCACATAAAAATAAAATAAAGGTATTGTGTCCAACTACAACTCAAAAATAAAATAAAAGAACTTTTTTTAAAGAACAATTTTAATAAATAAATTTTTTAAAAAGAAATTTTAAAAGCCTAGAAGAGATGGAAATCCAAAGGGAAGAGAAAGAAGTGAGGGTGCAGACTGCCTTCACTCTGACATCCCTACCCAGGATCACATATGGCTGCCATCCTAACTCTGGATGTACTCCACCCCAATGAAGGTGGCATGAGCAGTCTCATAGTATTAACCAAACAGTACCCATGGCTGGGTGACCTAGAGTCACCTCTGTAGCACCATTAGCAGAAAACCATTTGAATATAGCACTTGGCAGCTTTTAGGGTGGAGTGTGAAGAACACAGGTGAGGTTTAGTCCTGTGGTCTGATTCTTAGCACAGTTTGAGGATCCCTTATTCCAAATGCTTGGGGCCAGGGTGTTTTGAATTTGGGGTTTTTCATACACATAATGAGATATCTTACGGATGGGACCCAAGTCTAAACATGAAATTCATTTGTTTCACATATACCTTATACACATAGCCTGAAGATAATTTAGCATTTTTCAGTAATTCTGTGCATGAAATGAAGTTGCAAGGTATGGAATTTTCTTCTTGTCGCCTCAAGTTAGTCCTCAAAAATTTTCAGATTTTGGAGCATTTTGCATTAGGACTGTTCAACTTGTACTTGATGACATGAAAAGAGGTAGTATTTTGTTATGGTCAAGGCAAGGGCTTTGAGATGAATAGACCAAGGTTAGTCCCAGGTTTGCCTCTTAGCGTCCAAGTGGTTTTTGGCAAGTTTAAATGGTCTGTGCTTCAGTTTCCTTGTCTATTAAATAGGGCTAATCAGAGTTCATAGTAAAAGCTAAATAAACATCAGCTATTATCATAAACAAAAGTGGAGGTCAAGCTACAGTTCATTGACATTATAAGGATCAAGTCTGGAAAAGAATTTAGATGAGTTCTGATTATTGGCTTTTTGTTGTTGTTGTTGTTTGTTTGTTTATTTGTTTGCTTTTTAGTACTGGGATTGATCCATATCCCAAGCCCTTTTTTTAAATATTTTATTTAGAGACAGGGCCTAGCTAAATTGCTGAGGCTGGCTTTGAACTCATGATTCTCTGTCTACTTCAGCCTCCTGAGCCACTGAGATTTCAGGTGTGCCCCACCATGCCTGGCTCATCTTTTTTTTTTTCTAAAGAGACAGCATGTTAGGAAATGAGCATTTATTTTTAAAGTGTAATAATGGTGTTGTGGTTTTGTTAAACAAAATTTAAGTTCTTATCATTTAGAGATAGCTACTCAGGCATTTCTAAATGAAATATGATGTCTGGAATGTCTTTTAAAATAATTCAATATTGCCAGGGATAAGAGTGAGTGGGTTGCAGATGAAACAAGACTGGCTTTGAGTTTATCATTGCTGGTGCTGGGTTGATAGGTATGTTAAAGACTCATTGACTTTTGGAGGTACCTAGAGATTCATCTTAGCTTCTGCATGCTTAAAATATTCCAAAATTAAGTGTAAAACATTTTGGGGGAAGTTTCATAGTTACTTCACAGACAACAATCTGATGTCGTGTCACAAGTTTAAAGTGGTAGGAGAGGGTAGTCATTTTGCTCAAACCTTCATACTGTGACCCCAAAGTAAAAGTTGTTCTTTAAATTATAAAGTAAAAGTCACATTCTTCCTTACATATCTATTATGGCCCCTTAAAGACTCAGTCAAGTATAAAAACAATAACAATTCCTGTGAAGCTTCTAGACCCCCTAGCCATTAGCCTCTCATTTTTTCAGGGTTCAAATAGGACACCACTGTATCCCCAAGGGCACTTATGAGATGCTGAATGTTTACTGAAGGAATTAATGGCCGATTTGTATACCCGTGGTGAAGTTCAAACACATTCCCTCCAACTCCAATGATGCTTCTTCCTAGGGGCCATCTACCCTGATAACACCACCAACCTTCAAAGAGCAGATGACAAAGTGCTTCCAGGAGAGACCTACACGTACATGGTGCTTGCCACGGAGAACCACAGCCCTGGGGAAGGTGACGGCAACTGCGTGACGCGGATCTACCATTCCCACATCGATGCTCCGAAAGACATTGCCTCGGGGCTCATCGGACCTTTAATAGTCTGTAAAAAAGGTACCTTTCTCTTGACTGGCCAAAGACAGGGACGCGGTTTATTTTTAGACATCCATCAAGTCTCCTTCATTGAGGCTGAGGAGGTGAGGGAGGGGTGAGCCTAGAACAGGGGAAGGGGAGGAGATGAAGGCGTAGCAAGGGCAAGGGGAAAGCCTGAAAAGCAGGGCTCCTGGGGGTAGGTCTGCTCTAACTCCAGCAGGGGTGTCCTGCAGAGATGCATGACTTAACCACGTGTGACCGCCCCCCTCCAGTGGCAATCTATGGTGACAAATCTGTAATCATCTGCATTATGCTGTGCCACAGTCTGGCTGGGCACAAATCAGGAGCCACTGAAGCAGGAACAAACTTTATTTTTGAACTCCACCACAGCAACTCCTCCCAAAGGCCACGCGGCTCCTCCAGGAACCGGCCACCGGAAATATATCCTCCGGAAATCCCTCCTCCTGCACTTCTCCAACCAATGGGAACTCCCGGGAATCCCCGGGAATCCCCACCAGAACTCCAAAGTAGTGCAAGAACTCAAAAGTAGCAGCCCAGGCAGATAGTAATTTAGTAATGCCTCGCCTGTCAATCAATACTGTTGGCAGTATGCCAGGGGTCATACAGACTCGGCCATAGCTCTCAGCAAGGCTGGTAAATACAGCCTTGGTGGTGTCTATTTGTAATACGGTGAAAAGGGCACCTGAGCACAAGAGCTCAGATTCCATGATTGGCAATCATTAGGCACTGGCAAAGTCTCGCCATGTGGCTCTATGCACCGGGAGATGGAGAGGCAATGCTGAGTGCCCACCTTCCCATTTGCTAAAAAGCACAGGGACGTGGCCAGTGGATGTGCAGATACACCAGTGACCCCAAAGGCAGGATACCAAACCCCAAAGACAGGATACCATTTCCATGCCTACAGAATACAAGTGACTGGTCCAGATAAGAGGCTTATTAGGAAAATGAATATTACACTTAAAACAACAAAAAAACTATAAATCACCTGAAAACACAAGTCAAAACAAATGCTAAAATTTTAGATCTACTGAAGCAGAAATTTTCACTTCAGATTCTCTAGATAAGGAGAAAGAAAAGAACATCGATCAAGAATTTGTGGTGATGTTTTCTGTGGTGGATGAAAACCTGAGCTGGTACCTAGAAGACAACATTAAAGCTTACTGCTCGGAGCCAGACCGAGTGGACAGAGACAATGAGGAATTCCAGGAGAGCAACAGGATGTACTGTAAGCACTGGACGCTCCACTTGACTTTGCTTCCCGTGAGCAATCAATTCTGCTAGGTCGATTCCCTTGCATAAGCAATGAATTCTAATCTGTGGCCTTGATCGCAAAGTGTACTGGACACGTGACCTGGACTCCATCTAAACAGGTCAAAATTAAAACCCTAAACCAGCTAAGCTAGATAAACCAACTGTCCACAAACCAATAAGGGCAAAATTAGAGTTAATGCATGTGTACATTACATTTATGTATTTATTTAGACTCCAAGCCCATTCTAGAAATTATTTGAGGTGGCAAATTGATTATTAAACCAAATGCTTAAAAATTATACTTTTAAAGTACTTAACAGTAATTAAGAAAACAGTTCAAATCCCTAGTTCCAAAAAGTATCCTTTTAAATGCTACCTCGCCCCCACCAGGGCCCTCTCTACATCATTCCAACTGTATTTTAGTTCACTTTCCATCTTCTAGAAATGCCTTTTTTTTTTTTTTTACAACTTACTCTTTTTCTTAATCCTCAGACACAAAATAATGAACTTAGAAAGATTATCTCTCCCTCAGAATTTGCATGAGAAATCAAATACCCTTAACACTAACTAGGCCAGTAAGAATAGATTTTTGTTTGTGTTTAGCTTCTTCAAAATAATCTTTGCTCAGAAACAAAGAAAACAAACAAAAATAACTGTACTCCCAAAGTAGAAAAATAAACTAATTACATACATGTCCTTAGTTTCTAGTTTTTGCTTATAAAAAACCGGGGCTGACCCGAGGGTCCCCTTTCCATACTTTGATCTTGCCTACGCTATGTGCTAACAGAAACAGATATTAGAAAAAGATGCTCAAACTTCCAGTCTGTATAGGTTTGGTGAATTGACAATCATCTGTGAACTGATGATCCCTCCCAGCACTGATTTCTACCTAGGAAATTTCCGAAATGACCCAGTTTGAACAATGACCCATACAGGTCTCAAGTCACACAACTTTTAACTTTTATGTCTTCGTGGCCATGGTCCTTGGTCCTGGCTCTCCTTCCTCTGCATTCTTCTTTTCCTCTTTCATATTTCTTTCAAATTTGCCTTGTAATCTTAAAAAAATAATGTTAAAGCTTTTCTTGTTTTCTTATTATAAAAGAAATTTATAGTAGAAAATTAGAAAAATTCTGATAAGCAAAAAAAACAAAACAAAACAAAAAAACTTTAAATCATCCACACTACCCCTACCAACATGACCAATAATCGATTGACTACTAAATAACCTCCAATCTTTTTTCTGTATGTGTGCAGGTATTATATATATATATATATATGCATGTGTCTATGAACACATTTTCATTTACAAACACAAATACTTACAACTAGGGTATATAGTTGATGACTAAGAGAGCAAATAGGTTTTATCTTCAGTGAATTCAGTCTGAATTCAGGTCCAAAATGGAAGAGCTCTGCCATCAACTAGCCAAGTGTGACATGAAAATGGGAGGGAGGAACAGCTGCTCCTGAGCTGGTATTTTCTATCCTGAGCTGATTCTTTTTCTGTGGAGGTAACATATTACTATCACAGGCACCCCTGGGCATCAGTCACAAACTCTGCTCTCGACTTGCAGCTGTGAATGGATACACTTTTGGAAGTCTGCCAGGACTCTCCATGTGTGCAGAAGACAGAGTAAAATGGTACCTTTTTGGTATGGGTAATGAAATCGATGTGCATTCAGCTTACTTCCATGGGCAAGCACTGACCAACAAGAACTACCGTGTGGACACAATCCATCTCTTCCCTGCTACACTGTTTGATGCTTTTATGGTGGCCCAGAACCCTGGAGAATGGATGCTGAGCTGCCAGAACCTAAACCATCTGAAAGGTAGGACACCTTTGCCTGAACTTGGCTGTCAGCTGATAAGAGTTATATATCTTGGGCTGGGATTTGTGGCTCAGTGGTAGAGCGCTTGCCTAGCACGTGGGAGGCCCTGGGTTTGATCCTCAGCACCACATAAAGATAAATAAATAAAACAAAGGTATTGTGACCATCTACAACTAAAAAAATATATATATATATTTAAAGAAAAACAAATTATGTCTCAGTTGCTACACTAACAGGGTGATCACGCGGAATCAAAGTCTAACTGTAAAATGTCCTTGGAATAATCTGAGCTTTGAACTGGTATCCTAGTTTTATCCCATAATGATACGTATCATGGTGTAATAAAAAAAAACTGAAAGCCTGGTATGTTTATAAAGTAATGAGGTCTGAAAAGATAATAAGTCCTGGACAAGAATAATTGATCCTGCCTTGAAAGCATAATATTGCATACAGTTTTTCAGTTTTGTAAAACATACAATATTGGAAAAACCAGATCCATTTATTATGCTGATAATCAACCTGGTTTTTGGCTTGTCACATGTAGCCAGCTTTGTTCCTTATTTGTGACTACCTATTCCTTTCCTTAACTTGATAAATCCCTCCTGTGTCTCCTTAATAGAAGGCAATAAAAATATTCCCTATCTTTGAAAACTATTTGTGAGATTGATCTCCCAAGGAAATTAGGCATAACCTGGGCTCCCTTATTACCCAGAACTCCAGACGCAACTGCTTGTAGCAAACATGCATGATTCTCAGGAGGCCCAGCAGGTACGGAGCTATTTTGTGAGAACAATAGTCTGTGCTCATTCTAGTCCTCCTTCTCCTGCCTCTACCTCATGAGATATGTCAGAGTCCCTCTTCCTTGCTTATCTATGGATTTGTCCTTTTTCCCTCCTCAAAAGAACTCCCCAGTGCCCTCCCACAGAAATTGGTACCACATTTTGGAAACACATGTGTTTAATGTCTCTAAGCTGTATGTGCATAAAAAGTAGATGTCTTTTTAAAAGTTTGAATTCTAAATAAAACTTGCAGCAGCATCTGCAGGGGAATAGGAGAGAGATACTTTTGATCCATTAATGAAGCCTCTTTGCTGTCCTCCCAGCCGGTTTGCAGGCCTTTTTCCAGGTTCATAACTGTAGGGAGCCCTCCTCCGAAGACAACATCCGGGGGAAACACGTGAGACACTACTACATTGCTGCTGAGGAAATCATCTGGAATTACGCTCCCTCCGGTATAGATATCTTCACCAAAGAAAATTTAACAGCTCCTGAAAGGTAATCCCCCAAAAATTATTATTTCAAAACATGCTCCATCCAAAATTTTTTTTAAATCATAAAGAACTGATTCAGCAAATTAAAATTTTAATCAGTATTGATACCAAATAGCTAGACTACTATTTATGCTGCTTGTTATAAGAGACTGTGTTTGAGAACGGACATTTGAGTCTATCCAAAAAAAATGGGTTCAAATGTTATGAAATGCTCAACAAAGTCCTAAGAAAACACTGAGTGCATTTAGAGACATGGATTAATTTTCTTTGCGTTTTTGAAAACAGTCTAGCAGCTCTGAATATGTCAACAATATTGTACAACATTAGACATATGCCCATTAGACATGCCACTACTGCCTATGCCCAGAACTTTCTTATCATCCCAAATGGAAACTCTGTATTCATTAAAACCCCCCATTTCATCTTTGCCATGACCCCTGACAACTCTATTCCACTTTTTATCCTTATGACTTTGTCTCTTCTGGGTGACTCATATAAGTGGAATCATACCACATTTCTCCTTTTGTGTGAGATTTATTTCACTTAGCGTAGTGTTTTCAAGATCTAGCCACATTATTGCATGTATCAGAATTTCATTCCTCTTTAAGATGCAACCATATTCCCACTGTATGTGTACACTGTATTTTGTTTGTTTATTCATTAGTTAAAGGACATTGGGGTAGTTTCTACCTTTTGGCTCTTGTGACTAATGCAGCTGTGAACATTGGTGTGCAAATACCTGTTCCATTTCCTGCTTTCTGTTCTTTTGGGTAGCCATCCAGGAGTGTGACTTCTGGACAGCATGGTAGTTCTGTGTTTAGTTTTTGAGGAACCACCCAGATGTTTCCCACAGTGGCTGCACCATTTTACACACCTAAAAGATGCATTCAAGGGTCCCAGTTTCTCCACATCCTCACCAACGCTTGCTGTTTTCTTCTTCTTTCAGTAGTAGCCTCTTGTGTGTGAGGAGATAAAGTGGTTTTAATGAGGCGATGGTTGGAGAATGCCATGAGATTATGCCCCTCGCCTGCCTTCTCTGTTCAGGCATCAGTGCCTCAGAGAAGTCCTGTCTGCCACCCATCTTACAAATCACACAGCAAGTTGGTACCTGGGCCTGCTGGCTCCACTCATGTCTGTGGCTCCTGAAGACTTGAGTCCCAGGCTCCCCTGACTTCCAGATGTGGCGACTCTCACAGCTCCATCTCCAACCCAGAAGGGTCTTCTTGTACATTTCAAATTTCTTAGTGACACCTCCACTTGGAGGAGTCCCATCCAACTCCGCACGTCTAAACCTGAATTCATTGTTTCCTGCATAGAACTGTTTCCTCCTCTCTCAGCGAATGACATTGCCAACTACCTGTGAACCCATTTGTCCACATGCTGGAGTCCAAAGCCTGAGTGCCATCCTTGTTTCCCTTGCTCTTCCACCAATCCCTCCTCCTCCCCCATCAAGCATTACCTTGGGGTATCCTAAATGTCTCTGAAAGCTGTCTAGTCCTCTCCTCCTCTTTGCCAATGTCTCTGAAGTCAACACCACCTTCCACTGAAAGCAACCCTCTGACTGGCCTTTCTCTTGCAGTCTGGCATGTTCCCACACACTCTCCAGGCAGCTGTCTGGAGGGTCCTCCTAAAACATTAAGCACCCATGCTTAAGTGCTTCAGCACTGCCCTTAACTAGGTCCTCTTACCCAGCCCTCATCTCTCCAAGCCTCTTTATTTACTCCTCGCCATGCCCTACATGTTTCGCTTCTGCTGTGTCCCTAGACCATCCCTGCTTTCTGAGCCTCCCTACAGGCTGTTCTTCTTTGTAATCACCTGCCCCATTCATCAGACCACACACATTTCATCTTGGTATCACTACTTCTCCTTTAGATATTTTAAAGAATCACTTCCCTGGGAGATCTGAGCAACCTAGGCCCCTCTGCATCGTGTCCCCAGCAAGAATGACTCCATGACACCCTGTGCTCATTGCATTTATTGTATCGAGATTGCTTCATAGTCACTCCTCTGATAAATGTCAGGTCCCTGTGGACAGGCATATCAGCCTGCATACTATGCATATCATCAGCATATCACAGGTGTCCTGGACAGAGCAGATATTCAACACATTTGCAAATGAAAGAAGAGATGAATGGGGTGCCTTTGTGCTAGTCAGATGCCCTTCTGGTGTTTAATTTCTTCATTTGTAAATGTGGAGGATGATTCCCACTTAGTGGCCTGTGGATTTCAGCAAATGAAAGAAAGTTTCCATCAGCTAGCTGGTGCAACTCTAAGACAAACTGCAGCTACTGTGTTTTCAAACACTTCATGACTAAGTACAAAGATTCTGTTGTAGAACAAATCATTAACTGTCAAGGGTGGACAAGTACCCTCCTGAACTTTTCATTTCAGGTGATGTTTATCTTGAGGCAGTGAACAGGATTTTTTTCTCATGTGGGCCTTATGTGAATACACACCTTCTGTCTCACTTCAACACCAGCTTCAGACCTTTTTTCTTTTGACAGTGACTCAAGGGTATTTTTTGAACAAGGTTCTACAAGAATTGGTGGCTCTTATAAAAAGCTGGTTTACCGTGAGTACACAGATGTGACCTTCACAAAGCAAAAGGAAAGAGGCCCAGAGGAGGAACATCTTGGCATCCTGGGTGAGTCTGCAGAAAATATGCATGGCTGGGGATACCCACCCCCAACCCAAGAAAGAACAGACTTCCATGTGAAAACTGGGCACTCAGAGAGTCAAACTCCAATAAAATGCAGCAACTAATGAGAAGGCCAGGCGTGACCCCAAGCCCTCTGCAGGTGTCCCCAGGACAGCCTCCAGATGTGCATAGTGGAAGACCAGAGTATGGATTCAGATGTCCTTCTTCTTCATCTGTTAGCTTCGGGGATTTTGGAAATGACTTAACTTTCTGTGCCTGCTTGACTCCGCAGTATGGGAACAATAATAGTGCTTACCTCATGAAATCATAGTGAGGATTAAATGAGCTATTACATGTAAATACTCAGAACTGCAGATAGAAAGCTCTCAAAGATCAGTTTGGCCATTCCGCAAAATATCTATGTACTATAGAACTATGTTTTTATTCCATAACTGGTAATAATATTAATTTTAGTGATAGAAAATCTGAAAGTGTCATCCTTTGTAACCAAACTAATAAGCTGCTTTGGGTGGTCATGGTTTACAGAACCCACTGACTCTTGGGACAAATGACACACATTTAGCCAGCAGAAGACTAGACTGAGGAGTATATAGTTACTTCAAATAAGTTTTTGTAGATGTGTAGACACTCAGTACAATTTTTCATGGATGTTGAAAGTCTATTATTAACTTGGGAAAAAAATGATAACAAATTTCATTACCCTGAAGTTGGATCAAAAAGTTCTTCTTATCTCTTCCTAATCTCACCATGTCAGATTGGCCATGAACTTTTTTAAAAAACCCAACTTTTCAGTTTGCCACAAATAAGCATGTTGCTTCCAGTGGTACTCGCTAGAGGACACTGCCGAAGAAAATAATGCTTATACATTTTGCACATTATATAGCAATGAAGTCCAATAATTCTCCCTTTGTTCCTAGGTCCCATCATTTGGGCAGAAGTGGGAGACACCATCAAAGTCACCTTCTATAACAAAGGACCATACCCCCTCAGTATTGAGCCAACTGGGGTGAGATTCAGCAAGGACAATGAGGGCATGTTCTATGCGCAACACTACAATCCCCCGACAGAAAGTGAGTATGGCCCCTTTCAACCAATCATCAGCAATGTAAAGTTTTACAAGACATCCAGATGCCCATTTTAGAATATTGGAAAAATATATGAAGGTATAACCAAAAATATACGTTATCCACAGTTCTATAGACAAGTACGATTACATTTTATATAATTCCTCCACTTTCTTCTATGCACTATAATATATATTTTAAATATGATCATGATAGTATATAAATATACTTATCATAATAGTTTTGCACCCAGAGTTTGTTCTGTTAGCATTATAAGTATTTATACATATAATTTTAATGATGCAAAATATACCAGCATATGGATAGCTTTGAGCTTTTCACTTTTCAAGGGTGACCAATGAAGACTGGTGATTTTGCCACCACTTGCAATGTGACCCTGGGCTGGTTATTCAGCCTCTCTGGCCTCAGTTTCCTCAAGTGTAAATTGGGGAGGTTTGAATAGTTCCACAATTACTTTCAGTTTTAAGCTTCTTGAATAAGTCACTCTAACCTGCTGATCTGACACAGGAGCACTAGTAGGATTCCATTCTCACTCACCACAAGGAACCTGGAAGTAGATTATCCTAAACTCAATTCATCATGTGGCTCTAGTGACAGTAAGAAGAACACTGACCTTCCTGCTGTGGCCTCCTCACAGGTCCACCTCCTCATCCAGCCTCCCATGTGGCGCCTAAGGAAACCTTTACCTATGAATGGACTGTCCCCCAGGAAGTGGGACCCACTTATGCAGATCCCGTGTGCCTGTCTAGGATGTATTATTCTGCTGTGGATCCCACGAAAGATATATTCACTGGGCTTATCGGGCCAATGAAAATATGCAAGAAAGGAAGTTTACATGCAAATGGGAGACAGGTAGGTCTAGTCAGAGGAAATGAAAATGATGTGTCAATCTCTAAATTATCATTATTTTGAGACAGTGAAGATTTCACATATAACTTTTATTCTCAATTTTTCTTAGCCTAATAAGATGTATATTAAGCAGAGATTTTCTGCTAATACGATTGTTAGAAGATGGGTTGGGAATGTGATCGTCCATAGGATCCCTGGTCTTTTATGATAAAAATAGACTTTTAACATGAACATTTTAAAAATCACCTACTAATGATAATGGTGCTGAGAATGAAACCCAGGGTCCCACTCATGCCAGACAAGTGTTCTACCACTGAGCCATACCCTAGTCCCATGTCTATATTTTTCTGTGGTGTTTTATAATACGTTTTTATTTCCCCTTCTTAATTGGTATAAATCAGTGACTTGATTTGAAGGTTTGATCAAATACAGAGGTTTTTTTTTTTTTTTCTTTTAAGGTTACTATAACATGTGGGCTTGTGGTCCTACAAGAATACTTCTATCAGAGAAAGTATAATGTATAGTAGGCCCTCAGTAGGAGATGTTATCAGTCATCAATGATCTTTTCCTAGATCATAAACTAATCAGAAGTTGTATTGTTGTCGTCGTCATCATCATCATCATCATCATCATCTTTTTGAATTCTACTCTTTTCTCTTTTTTATCTGGTATTTTTCTAAAAGTGGAAAGTTCCTGTAATTAGTTATTTGGTTATCTCAAGGGACATGTTCTATATGAAGGAGAAGACAAAAATTTGATCCTTCCGTTTTTTTTAAGTTTTCAAATTTGAAATAATTCAAGCTTCAATAATGTCTTTTTAAGTCAAATTATGTATTGTCAAATTTGGGGACGGATTTACCCATTCTAATAGGAGATAAATAGTTATCCTTTATTCTATTTATTTCTAGTTTATTGAGAATGTTTTTCTATTTATAAAAAAAAAAGACAAATTACTTGAACTTCTCAAAAAAAAAAAAAAATCCTGTGCTAGGCACAGACTTCAGTGGTAAATCAAACATCTAAGCTGGTTTATAGCTGTAATAGATTTACAGTTTAGAGTTATGTGGGGGGAGGGCAACAAGAGGAGAGGAGATAAACAAACACAGAAAAATGAAAATAAATAACTTCAGGGAGTGACAAATGCTTTGGAAACCAAAATACAGTAATGGGGCAGTGAACCAAAACCTTGAGAAGATGGAGACGACATCTAAGGAGCTAAACTTCAGGCAAACAAACTCACAGCAGTCTGGGGGGACACAAAGGGAACAGGTGGGCAGGAACACTCCATGTTACAAAAATTTCATTTCAGATGATATTTTTTAAATGGAATATTATAGAAATTCTCTCTCTGAAATTAAAAAAAATGTTACCAGGACATTTTTAGGTGTAGTTACTATTTCATCTTATTTCCAGTGAAGCTTTTGAATCTGAAGACTCTGGTTTTTTCTCTTTATGCTGGTGGACATTCCTGCTACTATATCTGATGATTGTGTCTCCCCCTTTTTCAACTCCTGTCTTTCTAAAATCATTGCTGTATGTACTTCTCATCTTCATTTCTTCTGATGTATGGGCACTTTCTTCAGATCACCTTCCTTAACTCAGTTCTCGATAGGATCTAACCTTCAGGTCTCTGCCTTTAGTGGGTTTTACACTTTGATAATTGTGTTCTTCATATCAAGAGGAATCTTAAAGGAAAGACATGCAACTCTCTCTAACGTTTGCTCTCCTTTGCCATCTTCTAAATTCTTTTTTTTTTTTTTTTTTTTTGGCCCAGGGGCAGGAGAGGGCCCAGCTGGTTGGAGACTGTGAATCCATGCTCCAATTCATTGGCAGATTATTTAATCACTCAGGATGATCTATCTTTCAATCTGTTGCTTCCACCTGCTCTGCCTTCAGGAATTCTGAAGTTCTCATAAATGTGCATGCATCTTCCCTGACTTCCATCACCCACACGTATCCACCCCCCAATTTTAGTAATTTTTTTTGGAGTGTGGTTTCAATTGATGGGGGGCACGTGGGTAGGAAGGGAGATGAGAATCTGAAGTTTTAGCTGCAGAGAGAAACTCAGATTACCATACTGAACCACAACCCCATTAACAGACGCCAAGGTAAACCCTGGTAACCAACTGGAATTTCACAAGCTCTAGTTCACAAAGAGGAGCAGACATGTCTGTTCTTGCTTTAGCCTGTCTGCATGCACAGCCTTATGTCTGCCGCTTTATTCATTCTGCCTTCACCTCATTGTTCTTCTGATTTGCAGAAAGATGTAGACAAGGAGTTCTATTTGTTTCCCACTGTATTTGATGAGAACGAGAGTTTGCTCCTGGATGATAATATTAGAATGTTTACAACTGCACCTGATCAGGTGGATAAAGAAGATGCAGACTTCCAGGAATCCAATAAGATGCACTGTGAGTACCACATCCCCACCAAGCTCTGGGGTTATTTCAGTGTTGAATACATACGACTTTTAATTAAACCAAAATGTGGACAGCTTTGCTCATTAATATTCAACAAATGATTAAACAGTGCTCTGATGGTAATATCATTGGTTATTTAATATTTCAGTCAATTATCCATCATTTCACTTAACTCAGAATATAAGACATACAAGATATGCCTAGTAGATGAATAGTCCTGAAAGGGGGTCCCTATCAGCAGCCTCCACATTGCCTATGGACATGAAAGGCAAATCCTTAAGCCCAATCCCTACCCAGTAAATAGAAATTTGGTGTGTTAACTCCCAGAAATCTACATTTAACAACCCTCCAGGTCATTCTGATGTAGGCTCAAGTTTGAGAACTACTGGGTTGGGCACTTTTCTCACCCATGCCTCAGTAACGACAGGCTCATTTTATTATTCAATGTAAAAAGATATGACCTTTGCCCTATGATCTCATGATTTTCACTCTTGACTGAACATCACCTGAGGATCACCTACCTGGGAGCTTTAAAAACTACCAATGCCCAGAATAATTTTCATTTAATTGAAGCCTAGATTTGAAGATATAATGCAGTGTGTGTGTGTGTGTGTGTGTGTGTGTCTGTATAATTTCTTCTTTTTCTTTTTCTCTCGGTGTAATCCTAAAATATGATGGTTATGGTTAGAGACAGTGAGCTAATGTTCAAAAAGCCCACACCACTAATTTAGAACAGTAAAAACTATTGTAGCTCACAGAGGGAAAAAAAAAAAAAGTTAAGTTTTGGTTAGTTTGTTTACAGCTAGACTGGTTCTGGTCATACCACCTACAATCTATGAAATATGTTATTGATTCTGCATTTTTGCATTTTGCAAATATCAAAAATATTATCTATTGAAAATAACAGAAAAAATTCCTTGCATCGACTCTTCCCTGACGTTCAAGATGAGAATTTTCATCTAAGACAAACACATTCCCAGTGTATGATGTCCAGGAAGAGCAGTATTTATTCATAGGTTTAGGAACTCACTAAAGTGACCACAGAGAGAAGAAAGAATGGCAGCGGAAACCCACTGTTCTAGCAGGAAGAACAGGGAGGTCCCCAAGGTGCCAGGGACACAGCACAGAACTCTGAGGCCTTCAGTTCTGCTCCTTTAGTCAGGGAAGTGCTAGGGATGACACAGACACTCCTGACACATAAAGAACAGACAGGCTTGAATGGGGCTTTTAAAAAAAAAAAAAAAAAAAACAACACATAGTTGGGTTTGGAAAGTCAGAGACTGTCATAAAATAAATTGCTCTCAATAGGATATTTCCCAACTTTTACAGCGATTAATGGATTCATGTATGGGAATCTGCCTGGTCTCAATATGTGCCTAGGAGACTCAGTCGTGTGGTACGTATTCAGTGCTGGAAATGAGGCCGACGTACATGGGATCTACTTTTCAGGAAACACATTTCTGTCAAAAGGAGAAAGAAGAGACACAGCCAATCTCTTCCCACAAACGAGTCTGACACTTCTCATGCAGCCTGACTCGGCAGGTTCGTGTGCCTAGAACCAAGATAAGACTCTGTTAGGCTGATTCGTGTAGCCAAACATGTTGGGTGGTAAAGTCACCCTGGCTCAAGTCTCCCAAAGGTCCTTCCTTCCTTGAAAGGGTGTGTAAGGAATATATAGACCTGCGTATTCCCTATCTACTGGGGATAAAAGGGGATACCAGAGGAAGAAGAGAGGGGGCTCTGGTTTACTCCGATTCCACACAGAAGAGTCCTCAAGCAATTTCCTTTTTAATTCAGGTCCTCTTGAAGGTAGCTGGGGAGGCAGAGTAGCAGGGTGGCTCCCACAGAGCTCCAACGCTGAGCTTTCCATAGGGTCTCTGGAGCCTGGATACACTGCTTGCCCTGTTCTCCGCTAGAACTGCAGCCATGCAAATTCAGACAGCGACCAGCCTTGCTCTGAATGAGCCAACCAAACTGAAACAACCCAGAAAGAATTTTAATCAAGATACGAAAATATGCTAATTTATTTCAGGATTTATTTGGCTCATTTTGTGCCACTAAAACTCAAAACAGATGCAGTGACTCCCTTTTTATTCTTTTGACAAGTAGAAATACATGGAATAATGAAAAAAAAAAGGGAGATAAAGTGTCTCATGGAGCTGAAATTCTATCCCAGGGAGACAGACACTAAGCAGTCCTAAGAATACATCCACATCAAGTGGTTATAAGTACGGGCAGAAGACTAGGGCAAGGAGGAGATGGCGACCTGTGGAGCAGGAGCCAAGACTCCCTCAGGAGGTGACAATTAGGGAGAGACATGAATAATGTGAGCATGTGCACCATGTAGATATCTAGGGAGAAGCTTCCAGGCAGGGGAGGTGGCCAGTGCAAGGGTATCTGGGTGGGCACATGCCAACCTCTTCTAAGAACAGCTAAGGGGCCTGCAATAGAGTAAACAGCAGGTGACGCCATCAGAGGTGGGTGTCAGGTCCTCTAACCGGGTCACAAGAAGGGCTTTGGCATGGATTTGGAGTAAGGTAGGGAGCCACCTTTTCCTCTCTCCCACTCCAGGGACCTTTGACATCGAGTGCCTTACGACCGACCACTACACAGGTGGCATGAAGCAGAAATACACTGTGAGCAGCTGCACACAGCAGCCCGAGGATCTCACCGGCTACCTGAATGAAAGAACCTACTACGTGGCAGCCCTGGAGGTGGAATGGGATTATTCGCCACACAGGGCATGGGAGAAGGAGCTGCATCACTTACAAGAGCTAAAGTAACCCGCCAGGCTTTCATTTCCACTTTGTGATTTTAGGTTTCCTACCAGAGGAGAATGACACCAACTTTTAGAATCAGAAGCCCTTGGGTTCAGCAATACCAACCCAAACAACAAAAGCCTCCTAAGAACCTGTCCTCATCTATTGCTGCTTAATTTTCTCATGAGGAAAACTTCCATTATTTTGTTATTTATTTTCAAACTAAACCAAAATTAGGGGCCAAATTCAGAGCTCACTGTTAACTTTATTTACCAACTATTGGCTGCTTGTTTTTCTTTCCAAATTTTACTTTTAATGCATTTTGTATTCCTAAAACTGTTAGGTATGCAAGAGTATTTTAAATGCCTGATGGCAGTCTAGGAACTCTTTCCTCCCAAGAACTTATAGGAAAATATGGTTCAAAACCATTAGCGATGTGTGCTGTATGGGAAAAAAAGAATAAATTTAGTGTGCATAACGAAGTGAAAGATGGCTACCAGAGCTTCCAACACCCGTTCCGAGCAGCATCACCTGGCACCCTAGTAAGCATTGTGCTCTCCTCTATATCAATTACATCTTGCACCGTCTGGATGATCTGGTCTGAGGACTGGGCTCTGCGTGGATAAGCAGATCCAGGGTGCACAGCACAGAGGAGAGCCGTGGTGGGCAGCACGGGCTGGTCAGTTTGACTGTGATGGCAACTGTGGTTTTCAGAGGAGTAAAAGGTTATTTTGGTGACTGGGATTAAATTGTTAAAAAGCTATGCAAGCCAGGTGTGGTGGCACACGCTTGTAATCCCAGCAGTTTGGGAGGCTGGCGCAGGAGGATTACAAGTTCAAAGTTAGCCTCAGCAATTTAGTGAGGTCCTAAGCAACACAAAGAGACTCTGCCTCTAAATATATTATTTTAAAACACAGGGGTGCTGGGGATGTGGCTCAGTGGATAAGCAATCCTGGGTTCAATTTCTAGTACCAAAAAACAAAAAGACTATACAGGAGTCATGAGGTGGCCATGAAAATTTTAGGAACAGGGAATGATTGGGAAAAGGTGCCATTGCAGCTTCTAGCATCCAGAAATGTGGCAGTAGCCTGAGATCCCATCACTGACCGAATCTGGACTCATACAGCTTTAGGCGGCACGGAAACCTAGGGATGATCTGTTGAATTCCTCATTTTAGGGGCAAAGAAACCGTGGCTCCAACAGGTCATGATGAGATGGAGGTAATGTAGCCAGTGGCAAAGTGAGGTCCAGGATCAGGGACGCCACCCAGATGGCGAGGTGTGCTGTCTGCCACACCATCTAGCTTTAAAGCCTTGGTTTTTTTTTTTTTTGTTTGTTTTACTGGGGTGGGAAATGACTAAAAACTGCCACATTACTTTAATAAAACTATACTTTTACTCAAAATTTAAAACTTAAATACAACTTCCATTTTCATTAAAACAAATACTAACCTGTTTTTTGTTTGTATTTTTTTTTTTTTTTTTAGTGTTTCCAATGCATTTCTAGATAAGGGGGAATTTTACATAGGCTCAAAGTACAAGAAAGCTGTGTACCGGCAATACACGGACAGCACCTTCCGAGTCCCAGTGGAGAGAAAACCTGAGGAAGAGCACCTGGGGATTCTAGGTAGGTTCACGCGCCTCCTGTCAGAGGGGCGGCAAGCCATGTCCCTGGGTTCTATTTTCCTTTCATATATCACAGTTGTTCAAATCAAAATAAAAGGTTATTCAGTAAAAGAGAAGCCTATGCTTATTGAAGAGTATGGATAATAATGCATTATTGCTTATACTGGTGAACTTTTATGTATTTGGTATTTATCAAGTGAATTAATGAAGTTTTGGTGAAGTTCCTAAGAAGCTGCTTCCTAATGAAATTCCTACCCAAATTCTCCCTTTTATCCCCGCCCCCTCTCTCTCTCTCACCGAGCCATTTAATTTTTCAATTAAGATGTAAATGGTTAATTACAAGAACACCCCCACACACGGGAAAGCGAGTGTTACCATGCACAGGCAATGGAGAAGTTGCCCTGGACTGGTCAGGAGCCACCTGAAGACAAAATGCCTGACTTGACCACACCAGGCTTGGAAATGATCTCGAAAACCACCTGACACCTTCACCCCCCTCTCTCCCCAACATCAGAGTTTCCCTGGGGCTTGGTTATCCTCAGCCCCTAGAGCAAGACACCCAGAGGAAAATGGCATTGATGTCGGATGGCAGAAATTCTACCAGACAGGAAATGGTTGGGATTGGCTGGGGGGCAGGATGGGGAGGGGCAGCCCATCCTGTCAAATAAGAACCGTCCTAAACTCACTCTCAGGAAGACCCCTGGGGGGACCAGCTCCCCAAGATTAGGCACTACCCCTAGAACTCTGGGTAAGAGATTTACCATGGTCTCCAGAGGATAGTGAGTAATACAGGATGACCCCTGGTCATCAGCTCCCCTGATGAGGCACTACCCCTGGAACTCTAGGTAAGAGCTTTACTGTGGTCTCCATCTTTCCTGGAAGCCATTGCTGGTATTTTTACCCCAGAGCATCTGGTACGGGTGTAAATCTATGCTGGTACTAGCTCAAAGCCACAGGGGAGATCAGAGACCGCCTCACAGTGGGAAAGTCACCTGGTCTCGGCTTTATTACTAAGTTAGAAGTTTCCATCTGGCAGGGGAATAAGCCACTCTTCCTTTCCCTCTCACCAGGCCCACAGCTTCATGCAGATGTTGGAGACAAAGTCAAGATTGTCTTTAAAAACATGGCAACAAGACCCTACTCCATACATGCCCATGGGGTGAAAACAGAGAGCCCTCTGGTGACCCCGACACTGCCAGGTACTCACGGGGAGGAGCACCTTAGGGACATGGCAGCCTCCCCATGGATGGCTACTGTCACACAGGCATTTTTTCCAAACAAGTGTGACCTGAGGAAGTGAAGCAGGAGGTGGGGGCTCAGAGGGGACACGAGGAGTGTGTCTGCACGTGCACCGGTGTCCAAGCATGTGCTCCTACCAGGGCAAAGGAGCCAACAGGGAAGCAGGAAGAGGCTGCAGAGCTGCAGATCCTCCAGGGGAGTCCCAGACGCTCCCCCAAGCTCAGCTAAGGCATGCCTCAGGTGGCACCGACCCTACTACCTATGGCCGAGGTGTGTGGGCCTGTCTCCCATACAGGGTCAGTAGGGCCAGAGACTGCCGCTTGTCATTTTAACTGCCCCCTGTATCTAGTCCAGTACCCGGCATGACCTAGCTCAGAAGATGTTTTCTCCCATTATTTGTCAAATTGGCTTCTAGGAAAAGGCCGTTTTTTTTTCGGTCATTTGGGAGTGCTCAAATACACCAAATGAGAAAAGGAATAATTGCTCTGCAGAGTTGCTCTTGCAAATTTAGCGGGGACAGAAATTAAAAAACCCTGCCCTGGTGGTCCTCCTGCTCTTCCCCGGGAGGCGAGCAGATCGGAGGGAGCTAAATGGGGAGCAGCAAGCACTGCTGTGGAAGGCCCAGCAGGGTGAGGAGTCCCGGGTGCTGTTCTAGGGCCATCAGGAGGGCTTCTTTGAGGACGTGACATTGATGGGGACATCTAAATGGCATGAGGCAATGGTGCCCAGGTAGTTGTAGGGAAGACCCAAGGCCCCCGAGATGGGAGATGGGAGTGTGCCTGGCCTGAAAACAGCAAGCAGCCCAGAGGTGAGAGCCGAGCAAGCAAGGGACAGAATGTGAAGCAGGGACAGTGGGGCGGGACAGAGGAGGGAGGGCCAGGAGGCTGTGACTAAGACGGAGAGTCTATATTCTAAACACCTGTGCGAGGATCTGAGCAGAAGAAGGATGACTGACACCTTTTAGGGGGCGTTTTGGCTAATAGGTGGGCAGGTGACTCTTGGGGCAAAGGCAGCATCAGGGACCAGTGAGAGAACTTGTTTGATAATGTGGGTAAAAATTCTACCAAATCATCGTGATTTGGAACAGAGGAGAGCAGCTGAAAGGGTAAGAAGTTGGGGTACCAGTTTGATTTTCAAAGTGCTGCTAAAATGGCCAAAAAGGGGGCAAGAGGGAGTGTGGGGGAGAGAAGAGCCAGAGAGGACTCAGGTTCTGAGCATCAACCACGGGAAGAAGAAGGCCGTGGAAGGAGGAAGGGCTAGGGAGAAGGAAATGCTTCTGTGCAGCTTGTTGCAATAAGTAAAAGCCAAGGCGACAGTAAGGTGTTCAGGTGGTGAATCGACATTTTATATTTACAATAAAATTTTTGACATAAGAATAGTTAAAGAACAGGAAAAAGTCTTCCACATCCCTGAAGACCATGCTCAGTTCTAGCCTGCTCGCCTAGTAAAGGTCTGCAGGATTCTGGCAGGTTAGAGTCGATGGCATTTTTAAATATGCGAGTAAAGAGCACAGTCAAGATTGGTAGAGGGCACGGGGGAAGTTCAGGTCCAGGAGCAAGGACACAGGAAACCTTGAGGTGACTGGAAATGGAGATGGGACTGGAGAAGAGCCTGGGGATGTGGGAAAAGGGTAAGGGTTTGGCAAGGTAGGAGGATCTTCAGGGTGTCAAGGACCAGAATATGGTTATGCCCTGCATGGGACAGGAGTGGCAGAGGAGCCTTCGATGAGACAGATGGGACAAGACAGGAGGCCAGCAGGACTTTGACAAGTCGGAGGCACAGGAGTAGGGGGGCTGATCCTGAATCCTGGGCTCAGTGAGGAGGTGGTAGGAGGAGGGGGAGAGGAGGGCCACACAGAGCCAAGGGAGTCGAGTAGGACAGTCACACACAGACATGACCCCAGGAACAGGGCTGCCCCTGCGAGACAGCCATTTGGCATCTGAGGGAAACATTTCAAGCTAAGAGGAGTTGCAAAGCTTCTTCAAATGAGGATACTGGAACAACCCCCCCCCCCCTCCTGTCTGAATGACAGCAAGTGTATCATCAATAGTTAGTTCCTAGTTGACACACAAAAATGACATGAAATATATCTAACAGTCAGTCTTACAACTAAATGCCTGCAAGGAGTTTTGAGTAGTATTACCCTGACATTCCAGTTCCTGGGTTACTACTATCAAGACTTAACTCCTGATTAATTTAGGTGAAATTCGCACTTATATATGGAAAATCCCAGAAAGATCTGGAGCTGGCACAGAGGATTCGCCCTGTATCCCATGGGTTTACTACTCCACTGTGGACCAAGTTAAGGTAAATGTTAAGTCATTTGGTGTTTTGTGACAACCCCCCCAAACACACAATTGAAGGAAGAAGAGTGTTTTCCTGGGCTCAAGTTCTATGTTAAACAGGAAAATAAGTATTCAATCTGTATTAGTTTGGTTTATTTGTTTGTAAAGATAGTTATAATTATCCTAGTATTGCCGATTATGGAGAATACTTATAGAAATTAAGTTATCGATCAATGTTGTATTTTATTTCCCTTTTGGCTTGAAAATACGTTGAACTCAAAGAGCTGGTACATGGTTTCAGCACTCTTTCCAACCAGATAATATAAAAGCTGATCTCAGCAGTCATTCACAGAGTAGCTGAAAGTGCTGTTTGATGAAACATTTCAACATTTGTTCAAATATTTGTTTTGTAGAAATAAATCTCTAGTCCAAATCTTTTCTGAGTTTTGGTGCTGCATACTGGGCGCCTCCCCCAGGGCCTTAACACTCAGCCACTCTAACATGAATGCTGGGTCCTTGGCCTCCTTCTGCATGTTCCATCGTTAGCAGCAGCAGCACAGGCACCCAGGCCACAGATCTGGTGCAGAGGTGCTGACTTACCCAGCACCTGCCTCTCCCTGGCTCACCCAGACCATTCACCCTCCCATCCCCACCTAGAGCTCAATCCATTCCTTCTCTCCATCCCCATAGCTCAGGTTCTTGAAACTTGTCTCAACTACACCATGGCCTCCCAGCGTCCAATCTCTTCCCCTCCAAGTCTTCCTTCGCTTCACCTAAATGACTTAGAACAAATTTGCTGCCATTTTCTGTCTAGTTTTTCAGTGGTTTCCAATGATGCACAAGACAGAACCTTAAGTTCTCTACCATGATTCAGCCCAAAGACCCTTCAAGACCTATCCTGCCATTTCAGACGCCCAGCCCAATCCAACTGCTCACTGATGTGGCATTGGTGGTCTCCCTCCCTGTGTGCATCAATCTTCACTGCAGCTGAGACTACTCCCATGTCTACTCCATTTCTTCCATTTCTGTTTCCTTTATTAGAATGAGTTCCTAGAGGGCAGGAGCTTTTTGCCCACTCTTCCATGGATTTATAGTGAGTGGCCTAAAGTGTGGCTCATATTCATGAGTTCATGAGCCCATGGTGTAAACAAGCCCACACTGTTCATTTAGGATTCTTTTAAATCACTGAGCATTAGCTGAGCCAATTTTTGGCCTCTATGCACATCTCTACTTCCAAACCACTCACATAACCACCCTGTTGCTCACCACTGTTCCAACCTAACCACTTCACTGCAAAGTCAGTAAACTGGCATCGTCACGTTAGGCCAAGTCTACTAATTAAATGGGTCCTCCCCAGATTCCTGAGGTCAAGGGTGGTAAGACCCCAGTTTGCTGAAACCTGACTTATATTCCAGAATGACTGAAGTTTCTGCTTGTCCCCAGGATCTCTACAGCGGATTGATTGGCCCACTGATCGTCTGTCGGAGACACTACCTGAAAGTATTCAATCCCATAAAGAAACTGGAATTCTCCCTTCTGTTTCTAGTATTTGATGAGAATGAATCTTGGTACTTAGATGACAACATCAAAACATACTCTGATCACCCCGAGAGAGTAAAAAAAGATGACGAAGAATTCATAGAAAGCAATAAAATGCATGGTATAGTATGATACATTATTCTAAAACAAATATCCTCATTTTCACCCTTTGTTTCTTTCAATTATAATTAGGTTGGAGACTATTCATTTATTACATTTTAGGTAAACTACTTTTTCCTCACTTTGTGAGGTAAAATTCTATTGAAGGGGACTATATTTAAAATCATTTGCTAATTTTTCTCCCAATTCCAAAAATCTTATTTCCTTTTAATTAAATCCAATAGTAGGATTAAGGTTTTCTTCAGTGCAAGGTGATGAGAGAAGCATTAGTGTGACATAAGTGACCTTAAAATATCCATTTCCTTCATTTGTAGTGAAATGCATTCTATTGTATCCAAAAGACTCCCCCCACATTCATCTAATATCATATTATCTGTGAAATACCTATCGGTTTAAAATATTCTACAAGGTAACATGCATTCACGTGCTTTCCCCAGCTATTAATGGGAGAATGTTTGGAAACCTGCGAGGCCTCACAATGCACGTGGGAGATGAGGTCAACTGGTACCTGATGGGGATGGGCAATGAGATAGATCTGCATACGGTGCACTTTCACGGCCACAGCTTCCATTACAAGGTAAGAGCCACTGGTGGTCTTCCTTCTTGCTCTGTTTGAATATGGCTTCACAGAGAGAAAATCTTTCCTCACATGTATCTATGAAAAATTCAAAGTTTCATCTAAGCATGGTGGCGCACACCTGTGATCTCAGCCACTCGGGAGAGGTGGAGGAAGGAGGATGTCAAGTTCAAGGCCGGCAATTTAGCAAGACCCTGTCACACACACACACACACACACACACAAACCTGACAAAAGGACTAGAAATCCAGCTCAGCAGCAGAGTGTTTGCCTAGCATGTGTGAGGCCCTGGGTTCTGGGGGGGAAAAAAAAAAAAAAGGAAGTTTCAAAGAGTAAAAGGTATAGAAATTTCAATTGATACCAGGTCTTTGTTAACCTAAGTTTTCCTTGAAGTTTTTACTGAATTTTCATGGAGTTCCGCTCACACATTGCTCAGTAAGGCATTTGAGTGGAGTTGCTCTCAGGGAGGGCAGGAGTGTTCCCGTAATAAGCCAGAGAGCAGAGGTCAGGACCATCCTAACTTTTGCCCTGCAGTTCAAAGTTCTGAATCTTAAAAGGCCTGGGTGAGCAAGGTCATCAGGCAGATGTTAAGCAACGTCCCTCCACCGCAATCCTACTTCTGTTCTCCACCCAGTGCTGAAGTGCTGATTTCAGCAGGAACCAATGGCCCTTTTATAATATTCTTTTTTTTCTTTTTTGAGTTAATGTAGAAAATGTATGAACTACTAAAAAATCACCTTGCAGAAAGTCCATTTATAATCTGCATTTTGTTTTACAATGATCTATCTCTAGTGGACTTTTGATTCTATCCTTGCAGAAATACACGCAACTCCTGTCTCCAGTTACGTCTCTGCCTGGACTGGCCCTGGCCTGGGCGTCTCCATCAGCCTCCTTTTCTGCTTCCATTACTATCCTCCTTGCCCTAGAGTTTCATACACAGATGGTCTAGGGCAGGTTCAGGCTACAGCGAGGTTGGGGCTGCCGGGCCACAGCCTAGTTCCTCTGTATAGCTCAAATGCTATACAGAGGTGGGCCAGAGTCACAGTGCAGGAGGCCACAAGCAGTCCTGAGCTGGGCCAACACCATCTCATCTTTCCTCTGCACCCACTTGATGGCCCATGGTGCTGAGGGCTTACTAGAAACACACAGACCACACATCCCACGGTCCGGATTAAACACAGATGTGCAGGGACTCATTCCATTTTTCTAACATCCCCAGGTTCCCCAGTGGAAGACTGAGCCAACTCTTAATACATTATGTAATGTTTGTCATTTTTCTAATTAAGCACAGGGGCATTTATAGTTCTGATGTCTTTGACATTTTCCCTGGGACGTACCAAACCCTAGAAATGTCTCCCCAAACGCCTGGAATCTGGTTACTCCACTGCCATGTGACCGACCACATTCATGCTGGGATGGAAACCACGTATGCTGTTCTACCCAACGAAGGTAAATATGCAGCTGGAAATTCTAGAAGCCGTATTTAATGATACGTAAAAGGCCTTTTTGCCTAAATACTCCACCCAATATGAAGAATTTGTGAATTTTATGCCCTGATTTCTTCCTTCTCTACCTCCAGGCAGGAATTTACATGGCTCAATTCCTGATAGCCAGTGCTTGAACAGCACATAGGCTCTAAGCTGGTCCCAATCTGATGCAGTATAATTGTCCCTGAAGCTGACATAAGGCATTCACCAAGAAGTGAACCATGATTTATGGAAGACACATTTAGGATTTAATTTCTGGGCAGAGGGTGTAGCTCAGCGGTAGAGCACCTGCTCAGCTTGCATGAGGCCCTCAGTTCAGTGCCCAGCACTGCAAAACAAAAACAAAAGCACAACTTTTAACTTCTTTCCTAAAGGAAAACACTAACTTTTTTCTAAGTAATAGATCATCCTTAAGAGAAGTCTGGGAAACCTCCCCCCCCCTCCAAAACAACATAATTTCCAACAGCCAATCAGACAGAGGAGCATCCTCTATGCTTCCAGGGAGAGGGGAAAGCATCACTGATTGTGAAAGATGCAGGAGAAAAAGTTAAAGCCCCTGCTCCCCAATTCCTGCAGCAATCCCCCTACATAAGTGTACACACACACACACATACACACACACACACCCCACAGCAGGAAACTGAACAGAATTTTAATGTATATACACCAACAAAGTGTACAGAGAGTGAAATTTCTGCCTTATGGCTACAGGCTTTGGTCTTTCCTGGTTCAAAATTGGACACGGCAAACTCAACAGGGGGAAATTATGTAAAGAAAACAACTCCGTTTCCTTCTCAAAACCGGGATAAAAGGAAATATATAAATGGTTGAAAATTTAAGTCACTGAAAGATTAATCCTTAGTGCAAATGGAGTTTAATTTCTGCTCCAGGATTTTATATCAACACCTTCTGCCATGAAAGTTTCTTCTATGAATGTTCTTTTTATTATAAAGAGTGTTTAGTAATAATGCAAGAACCCGATAGAAGACAAGCCAATAAATTAAACAAAGCAAAAAGTTAAAAAGGCTGAGAAAAAAAAAATTATAGTCTTTAAAAAACGCTTGCCTGCCTGTAAACCACACAAAAGAGCATCCCACTGTGATGTCATGCACCTGGAGATGGCTATTTCCACAAAGGAGAAGTCCTTAGGGAGAGTGTTGTCTGTCCTGTCAGTTACTGTAGTCCAACTCCCCACCATGAGCAGCACACAGGGACCTCCTGTGACAGATGTAAAAGGTACTTTTCTTACACTGTGACTTTTCCATGATAGATAACCTTTCAGATGCAGATCACAGGTTGAAAAACTTACTGGGTTTGAAATTCCCTAGACAGGGACTGGATATTTGTATTGCTAGCCAAGTACCCCAACCTAATACAATGCTGTGCTTGGTGACTATTTCACATATTCACAAAATGACACAAAATTTCATGAACTTTCTTTGGACATACAGAAAAGCTGCAGGAGTAGGACAAAGAATTCCCAAACGCCCTTTATCCAGATCCCCAAATGTGAATGCTCTATACAGCTTTATTTCCCAATTTCACCAATCATCCTAACTGTGTTCTTTACAGAACAAGGAACCCCACTCATGTCCCACACTGTTGCCACTTCCCTGAGGCCCCCCTGACACCTCTCTTACAGCAGCTCCTCAGACCCTGTCTTTCACAATCTTGATGCTTTGGAAGGCCAGAGGGCAGTCAGTGCACCCATCACCCTTCATCTCAGTCTGTCTGGTGCCTCCTAGTGCTTGTGCTGGTGTGTTTTTGGTGACCCTGTTACAGAAGCTTGCTGTGTTTTCCTCAATGCCCCATATTAGGAGGCACAGGATATTGAGTTGTCACATTAATGGTGAGGTTACCTTCGAAATGACTGGTTAGGGTGGTATCTGCCAGGTTTCAGCACAGTCAAGTTACTATTTGTCCCTTTATAATTAATAAAGATCCTGTAGGGAGCAATGTTTCTTTAATCATTCCTAGAATAAGAGATTTCTAAACATATGAAAAGTAGAAAATATAAACGAATTAAGAATGATTAAGCAAAGTAATACTTTAGAATACATTTAAAGTACCATCTACTAATTTTTTAATCATATAAAATACACTATTTTAAATAATGTCTTAAAATTTCTTTTTCTATAGAAACCAAGTCTGGCTGAAAGAAATAATTTGGTGATAAGTGGAAAAATTTTAAAAAAAGATTCATAACAATGTATGTGAACATGTTAAATACAACATTGCTTTGGAATGGCTAAAAACATTAATAAAAGACTGAAAACATAAAATTCTGTGCATCTGTGGGGGAAACTGTGTTGCCTGCTACAGATAAAAAAGATCATTAAGATGTTAAAAAAAAAAAAAAAATCTATGACCAGAGAGCTGTCCCGGTGGTCCTCAAAGGATCACATGAAGCGTCCCTGACATGTTCCCAACCATCACCTTCCCATCAATGCTGACATCGTTTCTAATGAGCCAGTGGGCATGCAGGTACAAGCTGCAGAGGAAGAAGGAAAAATAAAACAAAAATAAAAAGATGCCAATTGGAGTTTTGTTGAATCCTTGAAAAGATGGTCAAGGGATATTACCTGGAATTGGGAAAGGTGAAGTTGAGAAACAATGCCTATGTCAAATCCAGGTAAAAACAAACTTAAGATAATAAAATATTGAAACCTTGCCACCAGGAGACAAGCTTCAGAACGTGGTTGTGCCAGGCAGTGGGCAAGCAGAACTTTTGTACTGTCTCAACTGGATTCAGTGAATACTCTCAATGAGCTGAACTTGGACTCAAAACTCCTTAACAAGAGGTTAAAAAAGAAGACAGACGTGACTATCATGATACAGTGCTTTATTGTCACAAATGCTCCAGCTGCAAGAGCAACAGGAGTATACATCAACAGGAAACAGATACAAGGCTTGGGCTGGAAAGCATGCATTCAACAAATGATGCCAACGTCCAGACAGGAAGTGAGGTTTGTGAACATTTACTTCATCTGATGCAGAAAGAAACAGCATAGGATTTAAAAGTAACAAGAAGATAGAGTTGGAAATCTTTTACTGTGGCAAAACATTTACATCTTCCTCAAGAGAAAATTATTATTATTTTTTGAAAGTAACACAATAGAAAAATCTGGAAAAATCCAGAATATAAAAATTCTGGTGCTCTAAAGTAATATTCAAATAAACTTGTAAAATATTTCCTCGAGTGTTCCTGGGATAGAAAAAGATTGTCATGTCTCCAAGAACAAGAAATCGGTGGTGTTTTCTGGAATAAAAATCAGTATCCACTTTTAAATATGTGGCTTCCTTGAAGCATTCTTATGTCTTGAAGCTCTTTTACATTCTGGGCAATTAAAGGGATTCAGGTTATAAATTTAGAAATTAGTGGTTACCCACTACATGAAGCACCCTGAAAGAATCTGAGATATGTAAAAAATAAAAAAATTAAAAAAAAAAAAAACCCTTTGCTTGTATCTGTACCTGGCAATGAATTTTTAAAATGCAGCTTCATGTGCTACTTTCAAAAGACACTTCAAGTCAGTGATTTTTTGCGACTGCAGTAAAGAAGATAGGGCAAGAAGAATGCAGCAGTGCCATCTTCTGGGAGGATGTTCAAGAAATCCCTGAGCTCCAGTTCCATAGCGACGATGGAAAGCACTTCTGTTATGGGAAAGAAAACCTGTTAGAATGGAAAGCCCATCTTTAATCTAAGTCTCTTAATCACTCATTCGATTAATCAGAAGCTGGTTCGGGAGACAAAATACTACGACTACAAAGAGAACAGTCTCCTAAGTCCACAGATGACTTTGTGGTTTTAACAACTTCTAACATCCTTTCTAGACTCCTCTGAAGTTGATTTTATATCAGCCCCATGGGATCTGGAGTTCCTCTTTCATTGCTGGATTACTGGGTTGTTTTTCAATAGGTTCCTATTGTTTTCTAAAGAGAAATGCGACTATCTGAAAATGGCCTTCTGTTAGCGCTGTCCTGCAGGAAATATACATCAGATGTTTGCCAGGCAAGAAAACACCATTTCCAGTTGGATACCACTGCCCTAAATCAGTTCCTCTCCATTATGAGATTGTGACATTATTAATAAGTACAAATGTGCCTTTTTCATAAACTGCAAAGGAAGGTGCTCCAGTGAACATTTTCAACACGAAGGGCTTCTCATCAAGTGTATTTGTAAAGGTAAATGTGTGCTTTTGTGATTGTATTACTAGTTAAAAGATACACGCTTCCCTCTTCTAGAGAGAAGGGTGATGCTTAGGAGCAGTGTTCCCCATAAATGCCTCCTGGTCTCTGGCCCTATGTGCACTTCAGGCCATTCCTGAGTGTCCTCATGTGCCCACTACTTGCTCTACGTAAGAGCCGCTCAGAGGCATCTGCCCAACATTCAGCAATCTTAACCCTCGTCATGCAGAGGAGCCTCCTGCTGTTTTTGCTGAAAACTCATAAGTGCGGTGGAGCCATGTGGAAGATCCCTAGCTCTGGAATCAGACAGTGTAGGGAAGGAATCCAGATGTCAACCCACCTACTTGGTGAGTGACTTAAAGAGAGTTACTTAATCCTTTGAGTCCTGGTTTCCTTGTCTGTAATGTGTTTTTAGTTTGTGGTTCCTGGGGCAGTGCTACTGGTATTCAGCAGGCAGGGGCAAGGATGCTGCTGTTTAACATCCTCACGTGCACTGGGGACATCACACAAACAGACAATTTCCCAACCCTCAAAATGCCAAGGCTGGGAAAAGCTGCAGTAGAGAGAAAAATCGGCGCTCCAACACACCCTAGGAGTCCCTGGTACTCTCTTGCAGTTTTGCCCTACATTTCACTCTAGAGTGACTCTGGAACTTCTCATCAGTTCAGGGATATATAAAAAAGTGGGTCACTCGCTAAGTGGCACACCTAGAACTCAATTCTAATTTTTCAGACTCAAATCCGGGACCTTAGTGTGCTTAGCTGCTGACAGGAACACCTCTAAGAAATGGAATTTCTTCAGGTACCTCCCCTTCCAATCAATAAATAGCTACAGGATGTTTCCTGTGGGAGAAGCACATTGCTGCTGAGCAGAGTGCACACCATGAAATGCAGACAGAACGCTGTGCCGGCTCTGAGGCACTGCAATCCAATGATGGAAATCACACACGTGAGCACACACACAAACACTGGAGGAACAATTATGGGTAAGTTAGGGAAGAAAGCACATGGATGTGAGCCAGAAAGAGGCTTGACTAGATAACACTGTTGCAGAGGTGTGAAAATGGGGGACATCTGCAGGAAGGTGGGAAAGTGACCCACCCACGTGAAAACTATCTTAATTAATAGTGATTAATTATGTGATTAATTTTGATGCAAGTGGGGCAAAGCAATCAGACACCTGCCACTTCCATCTTCTGAAAATCAAAGCAGTCAGGGAGGAAGACAAAGAGTTGGTGGGAGGTAGCCTCCTCCTTCCCCTATCACAAACGTGCAACGTTTACTAAGTGGGATCTTCAGAAAAACAACATCTGATGGCCACTGGCTCTGCCTAATGTTTTAAAAATCTATTGCCTCAGCTAGAAAATATAATTCCAACACTGTCGATTTCTAATATTTCATGTGCATTACAATCAACATTGACATGACTTTTGTAGTCAGGCCAACAAATAACTAGTAACATTAACACACAACAACATAGAAAATGAAAATGATATGTCCGTTAAGATTGATAAATGACTATGTATGAATGATGAAAATTCAAATTGACAACCTACGCTGTAAAAAACTGTATGATTTAGACATTCAACTTTTAAACACTGGAAGAACTCATCCTTCTTCAATACTTAAAATTGTGTTTGTTAATCTTAGCTTCAGACATGAAGTAAATTAAACACTCAGATCATTAATAAAAGATGTAATTATCTTCATGAAGTTGTGAATTTCTATAACTGTAATAATTTGTTGACCATTTGAAAAGATTAACTTAAAATACCAGCTCTGTGAGTAGAAGAGATAAATGAATATCAAATGTGATCCGGGCACACAGATGCTAAAAATAAGCTCTTCCACTTGAAAAATTCCCATGAGAAACCTAGATACAGTATGACTCCAGCAAATTTAAAATTGAAACTAAAGTCTACGATCAAGTAAAAAAAGTACTTTTACCTTTCAGTGATGTCAGGTAAAGTTGATACTTCTCTCCACCACATTTTATTCTCTGACAAAGCTCAGGCAGCAGTTTTTTCCACCACAGAGTCTATCTTAGAAAAAAATGAATCAATTTTAGTTTGATGCATTTTACACTTAGCTTTCCAATGAGAAAAGACTGTGCAGGAAGGCACGGGGCACCATTACATCATTTGGTTAAGGAACTCAATTTTATGATAAAAGGAGTTATTATCCACAGCCTGTCTTCTGTTTAAACCAAAAAAAAAAAAAAGAGAGCTTTAAAACTTGATATGAACCCATGCACGTGGCTATTTTCAAGAAGAAGCATAGACATGTCCTGTTACCATGTCTTAGGTGACAGGAAGAAGAAAAAGTACACTAGAGTCTAAAACTCTTCTAATTTCTAAACTTAAGACTTTATCACTCAGAAAATATTTTCCCATCATGCATTATGTTTCCCAAATCTTCAAGCAATCATCTATTTAATCTCCAAACAAGAGGTTTCCAAAGATGCTAATGCATCATCATCATCATCCTGCATTTTAATAGCATCTAACAGTATCTAACCCATGCCCTTAAACATCCAGGTTCACTGGATTCACGCGGCCCTGTGAAGTCACAAATGTCCCTGTAATGCAGACACATGGCAACAAGATTATCAACGCACACTCTCACGATCAAGCCTGAGAACAGAATCCAAAAGCTTATACCCGGTTCTCTTCTTTCAGTTCGTGATTAGCGTATGGAATGACCGCCTGCGGGCATCTCTCCAGCAGCGTGTCCAAACACTGCTCATACTCTCTCAGGCGAGTACGACACAGAACGTGGACACTGAGGCCAGCAACAGTGTCTTCCGAGAGTGGCTCCAAGAAGGGAATGATGGAAGCTATGTCAAATGAAGGACCACAGATAAGAGACTAGGAACAGAAAAGCAAAATGTTATGGAGCAAGGCATCCAGACACTAAAACACGACCTACAATTTTTATCAGCTAAGGAATCAGATGATATCTCATTTCCAGTGGAAATACTGTCAGGGCTAGAATTCTCAGAATTCTCTTAAAGAAGAAAATAAAAGCAACAAACCTCACTTATCATAAAAAGAAGAAGGAGGACGCCATTTAAGAACACATGAATACAGTCCTTATTTAATAAATATTAGTGGGCTGAAGTGTTAAATATTTTGTATCTGTACCTCCAGTTTAAAGAAATAAAGATTTGTTTAATAGAAAATCATCACTTTTAAAGTAAAATAATTTCATTTATTTGAATGGACAGCAAATTAAGACTGATAGGAATTTTCTAGGACTCTGTCCTAAAGAAATAATTAACAGACAGTTGTTTGCACAAGCATATTCTCAAAACCAAAAAATCTCAAGAGATCCAAAAATTCAACAAGGAGGGATGTTAATAATGGTACAGTCATGTTGTCAAACTTTAGATAGTCATCAAAATGACGTTTCCAAAGGCTAGTTAAGGAGAAAGTGCTCATGATAAGATGATGAGTAAGAAAACCTCATTTTGAGATTATGCTCAGAGCATGCCCAGCTCTGTACTATCCACACAGGTATATGCAGCATGGAAGTATCTCTGCACGGCCCTGCACCAAAACGCACATCAGCTAATTGGATGGGAAAGCAAAGCTTACTTTCTGTTCTCTTTTCATACTTCCCTGCATTTTCCAAATTTTTTTTAATGAGACACACTAAAATAATAAATTTTAATATAAAGCTAAATAAAATTTAGTATAAAATTTAATATAAAAAAGCTAAAGCACTTATTTAGAACTTGGTCATTTAAATCGACACCATTTGCAAAAAAAAAATAAAATAAATAAATCGACACCATTTGCAAAAAAAATTAAAAATAAAATAAATAAATCAACACCATTTGCCACAAGCTGAATGTCAGGGAGCAGGTATTTCAGTATTGAGAACTCTACTAAGATATTATTATTCAGCAACTTTAGCAGTATTTTACTTTTAAAATGTGTAAGTATTTTTATTGTACCACCAAGATAATCTTCATTTCCCCATCTCCTATAAGAGAAATAGTCATGTCTTGATTTCTCCTCCCTGTATCTTTTTTTGCTACAGCATCTTCTCAGAGTTATGAGAGAATATGGAAAGTGAACTATCTGTTCACAGTTAGCATGATTATTTTATTCCAAATATCTACCAAAGAATGGCCAGGAAAATAAGGTTGGTATCTTTTCTTCTGTAAGTTTAATAAATAATTCATTTGAATAATTTCCTAACAATAAAATGGCAAAGATGAAATAAGGTAATAATCACCCACTCATAGGACCTCCCAATATGGAAGAAAATGGACATATTTCTATACTGGGTCCTTGATTACCTGGCATTTAATACAATTACAAATATGTCATTACTGTGTATGTTGTGGGAGGTCAAGGCCCGGTGCTGCCCATCACATTTACAGTCTATGCTCATGTGACGAACAAAAGTTGAGGCTAAGAAGCCTCTTTGTCACAAGAGACAAAATCTTTAAGGACTATAAATAACTCCATCTCTGGGGAAAACACAGCTCTATTTGGAGACTGAATATAAGCGATATGGTCTCTTGAGCTTCCTTCCCCAACCTCTATCCCCAATTTGACATTTGGTTGTAGCATCAATAACCACGCTTACACCAGTTCCCAGAGCTTAAATCAGGGATTGCAAACTCAGAAGCAGAAAGGGGTCAACCAGAGAATGAAAATGCATAAAGAGATCTTGCTACGAGGAAAGTAGACACAAGACTCTCAGCTCGGAGACGGAAAACATGGAGATAAATCAGGCAGACAGAACACCAGAAGCAATGCCCAGGGACTGGCCACTAGCAGGCTTCAACTCTCAGGCCTCAGGGGTAAGAAGAGTCCTGGATTGCCGGTTCTGCTGAATTTGAAACTTAGAATTACTAATATGAAATCTTAATTTTTCTCTGAGGGCAAGCGACATTGGACAAAGAAAACAACTGTGGGAATTATAATCAGTCCCTGGGCCACTGAACTATGTTAAATAAATCATAAATAAATGCAGCCCAGCCTGAAATGAAATGCACACTTCATTTCTCATTTCCAGTGGAAATACTGTCAGGGCCAGAATTCTCATGGGAGGATCTACGGTGTCTAACCATGGTGCTAGTCTTTGAAGATTCGTTTAGAAGCCAGGTAAACTGGTTACCTTGAGTTGTTTCTTATGAACTAGTGTGAGCAGTCTAAATTGTGTCAGTCATGCTAAAACTGGATTACATCCATAAAAACACCACTACATATCTGTCACACTTTCATTTAGAGTGTTTTTCAAGTGCACCCTGGAGATGAGAATAGTGGTCACTTCAGCTGGCAGAGCTTGCAGTTCCAGGCAGAGGCAGGAGTGCTGCCAAAGCCCCTGAGTATGCTCACTATAGATCCATGGATTAAAGGGACACTTGACATCTTACCAAATTTAAATCCCACATGGTACTGCTGTGTGTGTGTGTGTGTGTGTGTGTATTCAAAAGGATAAGAGGCATTTTAACTTACTTGTAATTTTGAAAGGTCTTCTTTGTAATTTTTATCAGCTAAGGAATCAGATGATATCAAGACATCAACCCAGGGGTAGATTAAGCCAAAGTGACTGCAGGCATTTATCTAAAAGATAAAAGAAATTTATCATAAACACCTAACGACAAAACAAAACCTTCCTTTGTCCAGTGATTGTTAACCCTCTGCCACATCACAGGTCAGGTACACACCAGCCTAGGAACAGGAAGTCTTTCCCAAGTGCTTTGCCTTCCCAAAAAAGAGTTTCAGCCTACTGCTTCCATGACAAATAAGCTGCACCTAAATATTCCCTTAATCTTATTTTTTTAAAATAATTTTTAGTTGTAGATGAACACATCTATTTTATTTATTTATTTTTATGTGGTGCCGAGGATCAAACCCTGTGCCTCACACATGCTAGGCAAGTGCTCCACCACTGAGCTACAACCCAGCTCCATATTTCCTTAATTTTGAACTTTAAAATATTCCAAGGTGGGGGGCTGGGTTTGTGGCTCAGAGGTACAGCGCTTACCTAGCACACGTGAGGCACAGGGTTCGATCCTCAGCACCACATAGAGTAAAATAAAGACACTGTATCCACCTATAAGTAAAAAATAAATGTTTAAAAAAATATTCCTGGGGCTGGGATTGTGGCTCAGTGGTAGAGCGTTCGCCTAGCACGGATGGAACCCGGGTTCGATCCTCAGCACCACATAAAAATAAAGGCATTCTGTTGTGTCCATCTACACCGAAAAAATAAATATTTAAAAAAAATATTCCAAGGAGGTACTCTCTAGCAAAAATTTCAAAACAAAACAAAAAACTGCCTTAAGCTAATTATACTGAAAAAGAATTAAAGGAAACTTGGAAATAATTTTCATCAATACATTTTATTTGAGAGGCAAGACACCATCCATAAGTTATCAAGACAATTCCCATGGAGGTCCCCTTATTCAAGAAGCTGGTGACTTTTTCTGTGACCCCCACATTAGCCATGGCATCCATGAGAGGCAAAGGGGCTGGAAGGGAGGGAGCCAGGAGAGTAGAAGGGCTGTTCTGGTGGCCTGGAATGCTGCAGGCCTGGACTATGCCCCTGACAGGAGCATGCCCAGTGAGGCAGCCTCCCGCCCAGGCCTTCTGAAGCTCCTCTCCCACTAGGGAGAGCCACAGAGGTCCCTTCTCTGTTCCACTATTCATTGATGACCCCTGCTGAGGAGGAACAGGCCTGGGTTCTG